CCAGCTGATCTGTTAACAGTCCCACCTAGGCATCATCCGGTCCAATTCGAGTGACCTGCCTCGATAAGTCGAGCATTTTTGGAAGTAAACTCGCCAACAGAACATACATAGAGCCTTTACAAAACTGTGCATAATTGTCTGATGAAAGTTCGTCTTTAGTCACGTAATGAGAACCCCCTTTTTCTCTTACTACAAGTCTGCCTGTGCATAGTTGCAGAACACCAGTGTACAGAGAATGTCGATCGCCTCGATTCAGCAACCATTTCAGTCTTTTCCTTTTAGCCAAGAGTTTTTTTCTTTTACCGTGAGTCTTTTCTTCTGTTGTGAGTCTTTTTCTTTCGCCGTGAGGTTTTTTCTTTTGTTGTGAGTCTTTTTCTTTCGCCGTGAGGTTTTTTCTTTTGTTGTGAGTCTTTTTCTTTCGCCGTGAGGTTTTTTCTTTTAGTCGTGAGTCTTTCTCTTTTAGCCGTGAGGTTTTTTCTTTTGTTGTGAGTTAATTAAGTTGAGGGTGTACCCAAAGTGTCGTCCATTTTTACAGATTAACGAGCTTCGTTCTTTCGAACAAGTTTCTTCATCATGAATTTAGTCATGGCAGAGGATGAAAAGGAGAAGTTATTACAAGTACAATCACCTTGAATATTCACCCTTAAAGGAGAAGATGTCAAGGAAATCTACTTCAGATCCATTGTACCAGCAGTAACTTGAGGGTCTCAATGGGATGATGGCTTTTACGGCTATCGGTTAAAATTTTGGCCAATTTCCGGTTAACGGTTAACACCTTTCCATTGTTTCCACCAGAGATATTTTTTACGGTTAACCTTTTTTACGACTAACGGTTAAAGTTTGTCAATTTTTACGTCTAACAGCTAAATATTTTGGCCGTTTTACGGCTAACGGTTAACCCCATTGGGACCCTCTAACTTATGGTATTGTGGAATTGGGAAACTGTAGTTACTCTATTATGGACTCTTTAAATCCTGTTCAAGCGAGAGCTGCACGAGTTATCCACCAGGATAAAAGCCTTGAAAAGCTAAATTGGTTGCCAATTTCTTATATATAGAAAAGAAGACTCCTTCTCCTGATGCATGATATTTTAAATGATAAAGTCTTACGTCCCCCTTTTCATTTGAAGTTAGCAACAGACCATCACGTAGGGGTGGGTTACAGATTGAAATCCCTGGGGTGAAGTACAAAGTGGGAATGGAATCAGCGCAGAACAGAAGCCCTGTAATCTGGAATTTTATTACTAGGTTGGTAAATTTTAATGCAAACGTTCAAAAGACAGCTTTAAAAACATTTTACGAAGGCTCTCACAAAACATAAATAGCTTCTCATTCGAAGCACCCATGATAGCTATGAAAGACCCAAATTTTTGTATATTTTATAAGTATTATTATACTGTGCGTAAATTTCTAGATTAGTTTGTAACTTTTATTTGTCAGTGAACCTCATTTTATTGACTTGCACTGAATTCAAATACCATAGGGTGATTTTACAAATTATTTTATTTATTGTTTCACATTTTATTTGTTAATTGTAGGTCCACATCAGTCTCATAGCTGCCACTTTTGTAACCTGCATCACTAAATAAAATGATCGATTGAAAATAATTGTTTGAACAAGAGTAAAGCTAAAAATAAAAATAGTTCTTTCCTGGTCGTGAACTCGACATGGGATCAAACCAAAATCTAGAGTTGTAGGGATCGTAAGTACAAGAAGAGAAAGTTGCAGGAAATTTCTGTACAGAAATCAACTTTAACCAGAGCTGTACTATTCAATAGATTCTCTACTATTAAGCAAATTAACGCTGTTTCACAAAGTAGTATTGGACAATACTTACCGAAACAGCTAGTTACCGTGGATACTGAACGGCCTGTTTTCATGCCGAATTCGTGATGAGAGAATGTGTTTCTTGATAAAAGTTGATAACAGCTTGTTTTAAGTATCTTGTCATGTTAAATAGACTTTTTTCTCACAATAAGAGAAGATGACAATTACCGTTAGACTACGTGTAACAAGAAAGTTTCAAGCAAGTTTCTTACCAATATTTGGAAAGAAATCGTTTAGAAGGTTAGATCTCTTGAAATTGCTTTGACAGCGGCAGTTGTCTCGTCTTCTTGCTTGTAAGCTACAATATTCTGTCTGGGTCCGGGGTTGGTTCCTCTTGTTAGTAAATTTCATTGTTCCACAGATGTTTTTTCCTTCAGTTAATTTATATTTGAGGTGTTTGGCCTTTGCTTGGCGTATCTCAGTTGTTATCTCGTTTTTGAGTTTTCTCAGCCTATTTCGTAGGATCTTTTGTATTAATTGCTTCTATGAAAAGTATAAATCTACATTTCATTTTGTGTCTAATTGTTTTGCTAATTTTTGTCTAATTGCACTGTAACGACATGCTTCGCATATTCACGTCTTTGAACGTACGGGATGTGAGTGTTGCATACATCTTTCAACAAACCAGGTAGCATCGTCTTTGTCATGTAATCCCCCAAAAATATGGATAGGAATCATCTGAATCAAAGTTCCAAAGATTTCTACTTCCTTCAATATGGGAAGTGGTATTTTGTTTCCAAATCCCAATGTAGCGTAAACCAGACAGCGATGAGATATATTTGGCCGCCGAACTCTAATACGCTTCATTAACTTCACCTTAGTGGCAACAATAGCGTCAACAAGAGAATTTCTCGTGCAGGTGAGACGACTTGGTTCTTCAATATCGTTCTGGCCCCGTTTGGATAATGCTATCCACTGGATAAATCTCTACCCGGTGAATAACGTAATACGTTATATGAACACTTATGCGTTGGATAACGTTATCTGCCCTTTAACAACCTGGTCCTGGATGCTAAACTCTTCAAAGAGACTTAGCAGCCTCCTCGTCTTGGTTGTTATAGCTTCAGAATCAGGAATTTTTTGAGCAGCAGCATTGTGGTCCTCCATTATAAAGATAAGGCTGTATGAAGTATTTCGAAAACCTGAGAAGCCAAAGATACCAAAATGACATAATGGTGAAATTATAATTATTTAATATTCAAAGGTTAAAATATGATTCAAGCAATTGCTCGTATTTTTCCTTGCCCTATAAATTGCACTTCTTTGATGTCGGCTTGGTTGTAGCTCAACCGATACTCGAGGTTTACACTTTACAACTCAACTGTTTTCTGCATGCTTATTGCTTAACTCAACGCTACTGGCGTTGCTCACATTCTTTTACAGTAACCAGGGAAGAAGTGACAGAAGATTGACAATCGTTCATCAAGCGGTCACCTACCTTAATTTATGCTCAGGTAATGCCTTGCGCGATAGATCGTAACCATGCTGCGCTTGCGCGAGGAGATGATTAACACACGGATTACGCATTGTCAAAATCTGTTTCTTGTTAAATTTTCACTATCGTTTGTCGGTTGTTTGGGAAAAAATTTATTTGAGAAACATTGAAGTTTAACACTAGTACGTTGACAGGTTAAAGGTAGATACACAAAAGGTTATTTTCGTGGATTAAAACTTTCTGATGGAAACACTGGCACTTCTTTGCTGGAAACTTTAGGCAGTCACGAGAAACTTGACAATGACACTAAACCAGTCGTTATCGATTTTCCAGGAGGAAGTAGATTTCCCAGAAGAATCAACGAAGGATTAGAATCATGTCAAAAGGTTAAGACTGAAAATAAGTAATGAGCTTCTCAATCAAAAATATTTCCAGAAAAGATTAGATTGTAATACAAAACAAGTCGACACCAGCTTATCTATTAAGTTGATCATTAGCCTTGTACTAAAACCAAACCAGAAACTAATCGTAAAATTACTGCAATTAAATAAGGTGTCCCACGCGTATAAACCTAAAAGTAAATCTCGATGAAGCTTGTGCATTTTGTGCACTTGCATATTTAATAAAAGGCAGTCTATGACTACATTGTATAGTTTTAGAGAATAGCAGGAAAAAAAATTAACTAAACCCGAAAAAACCAAACATGAATCCGGAAGGACCCGATCATATTCGTTAAACGATGGCCAGTGTCGGAACTGAACTAGGATGAGTCGTAAGAGATCACGGTTACGAGTGTCTCACGATAGTCCGTCATTTTGAAAACCGTGAGGGGCTTGGGGAAGGTTTAACAAGACTTACACGACATCACAACATAATGCCTACGGCTTTCCTCGAAGGAAAGCGCAGTAGGTACAAAAATGAACACGAGGAAACATTTAATTACATGTTTAAAGCCAACAGTCGACTTATGCAACAAAATGCCTGTTGAGGCCGTTTACTGTTTAGGCCACGTTAAGCTGCTTGAGAGAGGTTTTAGCTTAAAATTACTATCAGCCTTCTCTCATGACCAGTAGAATAGTGCACTGTCAGATTGCCATCAAGCAAGTGTGATGCTACAACATAATTAGCGCTAAGCTATATCAAAACATTCAATTTGATACTGAGAGTGTTAATCAAGATACTGAAAGAGAGTTCATGCTCTATTAACAATAAATATATAATTTGGACTTGTTTTGCGTTTCTTTCTTTTAAAGAATACTTCAAAAAAGCAGTATAGTTTTCAAAAAGTGTGGTAAACTAGTAGGATGATATGCAAATGTCTGCAGACTTGCCTAAAGGCGCCTTCGGTGCTCTTTGTTGCGTCTTAAAATAGATACACAAATTTTATTGAAATTGGGTAACATAAATTAGTGGTAACTCAGTAATATACATAGTGGCCCTCAAATATTGTAATAAAAATATAGGGTTTAAAAGTCTCAACTGGCCGGAGGCAAACCAGTTGGCCGTGTGTAACTGTTTGCAGAAAGGTTGTCGGAAAAAATAAGGACAAAATGCACTTCAGGCTAGGGTTTTGAAAAGAAATCAGATAATCAAAGAGTTTTAAAACGTGAAAAAATATATATAGACAAAAGGGCTAATGAACAGGGGATAAATACCGACAGGACCGTCTGATGCTTAAGAAAGACAATAATATAGAATATTATCTTGAACATTTTTTACTTTAGGTCTCTTCGAATTTCGCTCTCGTTGAGTTTTCGTCGTTCGTTAAGGTCAGTTCATTTTTTTCTCGTTTTTCACCAAGTTTAGAATCAAAAGTTAGTCTTACGAACGAAATATATTCATTAAACCTGCTATACCTTTTCCTCCAGTGATATTTTTTTCAGATTCTCCGGAAATCCTGCGGTCAAGGGTTAGTTTTGACCTTTAAAATACGCACAACACCATCAGGGGTTGTCACGAAAGCTTTGTTCCAAAAACCTTTTAGCAATGAATTGTGTAGAGTGTAGCCAATGTGTTAAACTCGGAGCAATTGAGAACAAATCCAGTAAGTAGCAGGGTGGAGGAATTGAACTCGGGATACCAGATTACATGTCCAGCCCACTAACCACTCGGCCATACTGCCTCCACAACTCGCCACTTCCAACTTCCTATGTTTTTAACTTCTGCAGGCATGACCAAGAAAGTTCGTTGGCGGAGACTTATTCGATGTGGACTATGCTTTGCAGTAACAGTGGGCCTGATGAATTATTTCATACCCTCTTTAGACCAGGCAGTACAAACAAGTCATCGTCAAATAGATCTTAGGAAATATCAAAGCAATTTTCCCATCCTGTCCCCTTCCATTGAACCACGAGTTACCGACTTCGAAGACTTATTCGTTCTGGTGATAGTTTCAACTTCGCCCAACGATGAGATGAAAAGAAGAGATACAATACGTCGCACATGGGGGAATTGTGACAAAACTAACAACAATAATAAATGGAAGGTTGTATTCATGATGGGCAAATCCTTGAGTAGCGACAGGAATGAAAAATTAATGGCAGAACACAAACGGTATGGAGATCTTCTTATAGCTGATTACATCGACAAGTATCGAAACATCACGACAAAACTTCTCATGTCATTTAAGTGGGCGACGCGAATTAGATGTAATTATATTCTGAAAACTGACAGCGATGTTTACGTTGATATTCCTGAGTTAATGAAATGGTTGCTGAATCGAGGCCATCCAAACTCTCTGTACGCTGGCATTCTGCACGGAGGCACTGTAATAAGAAAGAGGGGGCATCGTCATTACGTGAGTAAAGACGAGTTTTCGTTAGACTATTATCCACCGTTTTGCAAAGGAGCTATGTATGTTCTGTCAACGAGTTTACTTCCAAAGATGCTTGACTTATCAAGGCAGGTCACTCGAATTGGACCTGATGATGCTTACGTTGGACTGTTAGCAGATCAGCTGGGAATATCTGCAGTGAGAATTGAAGGTTTTTTTCAAAGAAGGCCTAACTTTTTGTGGTTAATAAGTGAATGTGAGTTGAGAGATCTCCTTGCGATTGGAGATTTTCTTACTCCAAGTCAATTGAACTACATTCATGAAGTGAAGCATGCTAAGACTTCTGGGCAGGGGCTCGACGCCTCTCACAGTCTTTGTGTATCTCTGTACATGAAATTGTCCCTGCTTCGATTATTCTGTGTAATCTGTTTACCCAGTCTGTTTTTTTTCGGCTATAGAAGAAGTAAAACAAGAATTTCATAAATGAATCGAGAGGCTTTCCTCGTCTCAGTAAGATATATTTATTCACCACAATGGAGATGAATGGTGATGGATAATTACTAAGCTGTGGAGCGGCAAGGTGAATATTCACCACTTTCACCGACACTGAGGTGAATAATTCATTTAGTATATACCACATCGATACCAAAAAATTGTTTTTTTTTATTCCAATACAGAGAAAACGGTGCACTATTATTTACCTGTGTGGTATGTGTATGCCTAAATAGAGTATCTTTGGAAAAGCTTTATTTTAATAGTAATATCGCTGTTCGCAGACTAAGTAAATTGCGTTAAAATACAATTATAATTTCGGTAAAATAAAGTTGATAATTTAAAATAATGCTAGGATCTATGATATACATATAATATAAAACGCTGTGGATGTAAACGTTATCAAAAATGTCAACAAGTTACTTTCCATAGGGGGAATACAGGTATTACTAAAATGGTCTGTGCTGGTCGCAATACTTTTAAACATATATATATACATGTATTTTAAAATGTTCTTGGCAGGCAATGACTCGTGTAGTCTGAGGTTAGAGTTTGATATCACAGAACTAAACAGCTTTGAGTAAACATGTGCCCGTCTTTTCTTCTGCTGATAGGGCGTACTTGTACTTGTAATTTCTTAGAATTTGATAGACCTATGCAAAAGATTGATAAAACACTTCTTCGTACACGCTCTAAGTCATTCCTCAGATAAGCAAGAAGGGCATAATGGAATAGATAATATTTCGTTTGATATGGTTTCTCTGAACATTGCTAAGCCAATACAATTATTGTTTCGCGAATTACCATATGACGGTATTGAAATGCGTTGTGCTCATGGCCAGTTTAATAATGCATTGCAAACACAACTACCAACCAAAAAGTATCTCGATAGACTCATAAGATTTCATGACGTTGATTTCTTTAGTCTAAATGTAAATTCAGGTATCGATGTAGATTGTAACGCTTCATTTGGGAGCCATCCGTTGTAAATACAACTCTTCGTCTATCTTTGCGCAGTTAATAACTAGGAATAGGTCGTTCGAATCTTGCCTCTCTTTGTTTCACACCAATATACGAAACTTTAGAAAAACCTTGGACAACTATCAAACCCATATCTTATACGAACTAAATTTTCATTTGAATCTTTTAGCAGTAACGGAAACAAAAATTAATTACGATAATCTTGACTTTAATTCAAACATAACATATAACAATATTGAATATTTTCCCACACCTCTTTCTGCTGGACGTGTAGGAATGTATAGAAACAACAATATACAATACAAAGTCAATGAGATCTCCTTGGAATTGGTGACTCACTTACTCCAAGTCAATTGAATTACATTCATGAAGTGAAGCACGCCTCTTCTGCCTCAGCTGGGAATATCTTCAGAGGGAATTGACAGATTTTTTCAGAAAAGTCTCTTACCGTATATCTTCTGGTTTATGAGTAAATGTGAGTTGAGAGATCTCCTTGGAATTGGTGACTCACTTACTCCAAGTCAATTGAACTACATTCATGAAGTGAAGCACGCCTCTTCTGCGTCTTACTATCTTTGTATTTCGTTGCTTGAGAAATTTTTCCTACTTATATTATTTTTAATCATTTTAACGTGTCTGCCGTTTTTAGGTCGTAAAAGGTTTTCTACAAGGATTTCAAAAAGAAAATAAGATCGTATTCGATTATCTCTTCATTAGTTCAATTAGTACGTTCATACATTCATTTGTGCAATCATAAACTAAGTGGAACAAAATTGAGTCTGGAACTACAAGTATGATTTTTGACCAAAATAACAAGGCACAAATTTCAATTACCACTCTCTTATATCCATTAACAATCACAAAGTTGCAGTTTGTCAATTATTGTAAGAAATTAAATTCATTCATATTTTGGGATAAAAAGAAAAGGGTTAAACTTCCCTTCTTTGTCTCTCATTTTCCTGCAATTTGATTGGTTGCTTTAAACAAGCCTTGAAATCTGATTGGTTGTGTTAAGTTTCTCTCTGATTGACTAAGAAAAAGAAGCGATTTAGAGCTAGACTAGGTTGCACTACTGAGAGCCGATCAGATTGCAAGGATCGTCAGAGACTTAAGAGTGAATGCACCAAAACTTCAATCAAATTTTCAGAGCTAAAATAAAGAGTCACATATGAGACAGAGTGTAGAGAAATGCTATTTCAATCTGAGGAGATAAAGGGACATATCATCATAACCCTAAAGAAAACCATAATGTTGATGCTGATATGTTTGTGCGGGTAATCACATGATTTCGAGTGCAATTTGGAATAAATAAAGTGTAATTGTGCACTATGCTTTGCAGGAAAGCAATCCAAGGAGACGCTGGGAATTTCCTTAGGATTTTTACCAAGTAAGATAAAAAGAAATTAATATATAACTAGTTGTGGCTTACAAATAGCACAACAAGAAAAGTCATAATTTGATAAGTGACTGCCATTGACTTTTTTCAAGCAGTGCAGGACTGAGGAGAGAAAGATATTTGTACCAAGGGGGTTAGCAACAGTCAAAACGAAGGAGAGGGGAGGGGTGGAGCAATAGGTATTATTGAACAACCTGATAAGACACCTGCGCTGCAGGCTAAACTGAAACAGGTAAAATTTTCAATAAAACTGTACATTATTAATAGTGTTTCCTCCTCTTTATTTAACATATAAGTCAGATATTTCAGTCTTCATCAGGATCATCTTCATCAAAGTCATCTGCTTCGTCAGGTTGGTAGAACACTTTTCCTTCACACACAGGGTTTACTGTGACCTGGGAAGTTTCAGTTTAGATCGACCTTGGTGCTCATTATTTGTCAGCGTCCGATTGAATGTGAGATTTTTAGTTGGATCAACCTGAAAGATTACATTCAATTGATGGTAAAATAACAAAAAAAAAACAAAAAAACAAAAAAACAAAAAAACCAGCTTCAAACTCACTATTTATATCTTACATCACGAACATATCATTTTCTTCAATAATTCAAAAATTATCTTGCGTGAGGCTCACCTCATTAACAGGTTCATTGACAGCTTTTGAAGAAGAACCATTCCAATCCTTTTCTTCGTATTCAGTCAGTACATGTTTCTCATTGATAGCAAAGCTTTCAAACTGTAACAACAACCAGATTTGAAATAAGTAATGCTCCCAACCCACGAAAAGAAAAATAAAATCTTGTTAATAAATTCCAATAATCTGCAGATGTTTTTCCTTCAATTAATTTGTATTTAGAGTGTTTGGCCTTTGGTTGGCGCATCTCAGTTATCTCGTTTTTGAGTTTCCTCAGCCCATTTCATAAAGGAATTTTTTGAGCAGCAGTAGTGTGGTCCCCCATTATAAAGATAGGGCTGTATGAAGTACTTCGAAAACCTGAGAAGCCAAAGATACTAAAATGAAATTATACTGGAGTTATAAATATTTAATTTTATTTCAATGGGTCAAAATATGATACAAGCGGACATTTTGCTCATTGCTCGTAATTTTCTTGTCCCTTCGGGACTCGCAAAAATACAACGCAATTCGTTAAATATCCGCGCGTATAATATGTTTAACCTTCCAATAAGGTTTACCAATCGAAAACCCTTTGGACGAAGCCTTTTGAAATTGCTCGCCGATTCGCCGCTTTATGTTGTAATATTTGATTTCATTATTACAGCGTTGAGTTCTCTAAAGCACATTTCGATAGCATCTAACAAGATTTGGAAGTCCGGCAATTGGTTAAACTTTAAGGTTTCTTTCGTTCACATCCTAACACCGCCCACATTTGGTTTGGAAGCTTGATTAAGGTCAATTCTAAGTAAAGCTTCAATAATCAAATCATTTGCTGCTCAATGAATAGAAAGTCAAGATCGCTGATTTTGCCTTGCTTAAAAAAATCGACCGTCAAATCCGACACTTGGGTCAGGCATTTGAACACAATTTTGGCACGGAGTTAGGGGGAATTTCAACGAACCAATCTTTAAAAGTTTAAATACTCGGGGGATGATGTCGAGCCTTCGAATTGACCGACGGATAACGCAGCGCGTCATACGAATTGACATCTGCTTTAGATCAGTGAATTGAGAAGGGGCGGAAAGAGTTCTCAACTTAACTCTTCCGTCTCGAGTTTGGAATGCGGGAAAAGGCGTTCTTTGCAGTGAGGAGGGATCAGGCAAGTGTGAGTCAAGCGGTGTTAAATCGTATGGCTTTAATCTTTCCAGAGATACCAGATATTGTTTGCTTTTCCACACATTGGACGAAGTAGGCAACCATTTTTATATTCCTAATTTTCTGAGGTTTGGAAACCTGTAGATTCGGCTCTGAGTTTAGGCACAGCCACAAAGCAAAGTTGGCGTTGCAGACCCTGACTGGTCGCAAGCCAAAGTCATTCAGAGAGACACGATGATGGTCGAAATGGAAGCTGTTTAGGCAGCTGTTAGAGCAGTTTGGAGACGCGTAGCTATTTCTACAAGAACCTAAAGTATATAGAATCGCTCTACATTTTGTTAAGGTAGCTTTTGAGGGGGACTAGTAACTACTCAACAAATAGAACTGCGCCTGTTACTCGCACCTCTTTAAAGTCGGCTTGGTTGTAGTTCAACCAGTGCTCGAGGTTTACACTTTACAACTCAACTGTTTTCTGCATGCTTATTGCTTAACTGAACGCTACTGGCATTGCTCACGTTCTTTTACAGTAACCAGGGAAGAGGTGACAGAAGATTAACAATCGTTCATCAAGCGGTTACCTACCTTAATTTTTGCGCGGTAGATCGTAACGTATCATACTGTGCTCGCGCGAGATGCTTAACATACGGACTACGCATTTTTAAAATCCATTTCATATTAAATTTTCACTATCTTTCGTAGGTTGCCTGGACAAAATTTTATCGAGAAACATTTCAGTTTAACACTAGTGCGTTTAAAAAATTCAGGTTAAAGGTAAGTACATAACAGGTTATTTTGGGAGATTAAAACTTACCGATGGAGACACCGGCACTTCTTTGCTGGAAACTTTAGGCAGTCACAAGACACTTGAGCATGTCACTTAACCAGTCGTTCTAGTTTTCCAGGAGGAAGTATATTTCCCAGAAGAATCAACGAAGGACTAGTTTTCTGTCAAAAGGTTAAGACTGAAAATAACTAGTGAGCTTCTTAATCAAAAATATCTTCAGGAAAGATTAGATTGTGATACAAAACAAGTCGACACCAGCATATATATTAAGTTGGTCATTAGCTTTGTGCTAAAAAAGCCAAACCAGAAACTAATCGTAAAATTATTGCAATTAAATAAGGTGTCTCACGCGCATATACCTAAAAGCCTCGTCGAAGCTTGTGCATTTTGTATACTTGCATATTTAATAAAAGGCAGTCTATGACTATATGTGCCTACTGCCGTATAGTTTTAAAGAATAACAGGAAAAAATTAACTAAACCCGAAAAAAACAAATAAGAATCCAAAGAGACCCGATCAGATTCGTTTAACGATGGCCATTGTCGGAACTGAACCAGTAAGAGTCGTAAGAGATCAAGGTGTCAAACCCCAAAGGGTATCTCGATAGAGTCACAAGATGCCATAACGTTTATTTCTTTAGTTTAAATGTAAATTCAGGTAGCAGTCCAGATTGTAACGCTTCATTTGGAACTATTCGTTGTAAAATCACTCTTTGTCTACCTTTGCGCAGTTGATAAGTAGGAATAAGTCGTTCGAATCTTGCCTCTCTTTATTTCACACCAATATACGAAACCTGAGAAAAAAACTTAAACAACCTTCAAAGCCATATCTTATACGAACTAAATTTTCATTTTAATCTTGTAGCGGCAGTAACGGAAATAAAAATTAAAACGAGAATCTTGACTTAAATTCAAACATAACAAATTATAATATGATAAAGGGGGTAAATTTCTAAAGAAACTGTAGTGCTGCGTCGATGGGAGAGTATAGCAGGTAATTTAGTGTTAACAACTGAGTTGAAAACGTAAATTAGCAACCGTAAAGGCTAAAAAAGCTGACGTTTCGAGCGAGAGCCCTTCCAATCGCTGATGAAGGGCTACGCTCGAAACGTCAGCTTTTTTACCCTTTACGGTTGCTAATTTACGTTTTCAACTCAGTTGTTAACACTAAATTACCTGAAATTACAATATAGAATATGATCCTACACCTTTTTTCTGTTCGACGTGTATACAGGAATGTATAAAGACAAAGATATACAATAGAAAGTCATTGAAAAAATTTCTAATGAGGCTTTTCAAGCATATAGGCTTGAAGTTGAATTCACTGAAAAAAGCAATATTATTTGTGGAATTGTCTCTAGGCAGCATAATTTTGCTGACTGCTTCTTAGAATATTTTTAAGAAACTGTCGGTCGATATAGTGCCACTAGTCAATCATTCTGCCCCTTAGGTGACGTCAACATAAATATTCTGAAGTCAGAGACTTGTAATTACACTCAACAACTTTTACACTGCTTACAAAGCTACGCTATTTTACCAACAATTGATAAACCGACAAGGGTTTAAAATAACCGCGCCTCACTTGTTGATAATATTTTCTTAAACAAAATCGAAGATTGTATCGCCAGTAGGAATTGTGACGAGGTTTCTCGCACTACAGGACTCTCGCTGGGAACGCAACAATAAGGGGCGAAAAGAGCTAGCGAAGTAACTGTATCAGTGGAAATTACCTTTTTTTTTTCGTACAGATGTATAGTTAGAACGTACCGAAACGAGTGCTGAAAAACCCGGAGTCTTCGCTGTCCGCCAAGAAAGCAAAATAATACGAATGGAAATTACTGAGACTGAGAAAAAAGAAGAAGCCAGTGTATTTTTCAAATCTAAAAAACGGCCCGAAATTTTACCTTTCCAAGTGTACAATTTAAGTTACAATCACAAGTTCCAGTCGAAAACAATTGCTTTAGTAAACTTAGTCTGGTTAACGTTCGGCCTTCCGACGCCATGTTGATCATATTATCTCCCTCAGTAACATGTCACGTGAACGTGAATCTGAGCAGCGATTGGTTACTGTTTTGTTTTGGTCTGGGTTGTCAAATTTGATAACTATCCCTGACTGGTAGAGACCACTTGCAGCGGAAACGGAAACTCGTCACGGTTTCCTTGTCCGGAGACCTGCTTCAAGCGAACGTGCTACGGACGTCAAGGATTAGACAGTGGTTGGTTCCACAGTTACTTTATTTTAGTTCATGTCGACAACCGACATAAACTTTAGCGCACTCAACTTCGTAATCGCCACACAGTCATCAATGTAATCGCCACGTCGTCGTCTATGTAATACCCACGCAGTCGTCTATGTAATACCCACGCAGTCGTCTATGTAGTCCAATATTGTTCTTTAACTGTGCTACATTTGAACAGTATAACAGAAGAAGCGGAAATTGTCTCTTTGAAGTTATCGATTCTAATAAAATAATAGAACGGTGATTGAACCCACAGCTTCAAAATTAAAGATAATATCTTAGCAAGTAAGAGTGAGAAGTCAATTAACCCTTTACACCTTAACATCAGGATTCATATTCTCCATACTGCTCGCTATACATTCACTTAGGCGCTGACAAGGAGAATTTGTCAAACAATCAAGAGTTTCTTTAGTTGATGATCATTTCCTTTATTCTCATGACATTGATGTGTGATTCAGTGGTGTTATTGTAAGGAGAAATTAGATGCTAGTCACCCTGAGGAGTAAAAGGGATAAAATTCCTTCATATCGATGCGATGTTGGTGTTAAGTTTGAACAAGTGGCAACGTGAAAAATGATCGTATGATAAGGACCAATTTACGGACGATAGTTCTGCTGGCAACATCCTTGAGAAGCAATTTACCAGAAAAGGTTGGCACAAGGATTGTTTACTTAACAATGTTCACTAAGAATAAGATCATTAGAGGACCGATGTTCAAGTATACATAGGCGGCGAGAACAATGGAATGTGTACAAGTCGGTAGTTGTTAGCTTTTACCTTTTTCAGAACATTGCAATAAAAGAAACTCAGATGAATCGAGAACGGCTAAAATATTGCAGGAAAAAGTAATAAATATGCTCCAAACAAACACACGAAAAAATCACCAAACTTCCCCTAATAGGATATTGTATCAGATCCCAATGATCATTTTTCTTAATTTTTCGTTGTTCAATCAACCATTGAAACCATCAAACCTCGGGAAAAAAGCAACTCGTGACTATTCAAAATTCTATCGACAAATTTTTCTACAGAAATTGTCGGAACTCACGTGGGAGTCATCACCAGCTGTTAAGGATCCCTCTAAGTTATTTCCACATTTCACAAAAAGCTGTATAAGCTGGTGAACAAGCATGCGCCACTTCCAACTCTTGTCAAAGTGCGAAGGTAAACAGCTGGAAAAACTGAGGATCACTACAGGAATTCGAAAAAGAAATAAGAGTAAAAATGAGCTTTTTTCTCCGGCGTCCGGGAAAGATATAAACTTTACAGATATGTTTTTTTTACAGCAGCGGAAGGCTGGGGAGAGAAAAGAAATTTATACCGAGCGGGTGGGTGACGGTCAAAAAGGAGGAGCAGGGAGGGGTGGAAAAATGAGCATTCTTCTAAGCTTTTCCCGCTCTCTTCCCGCACCGTTTACCCTAACCCTCGATCAGAGAAGGCCGGTTGAACAAACGATCATGAGCTTCTGAGAGTTAACTTGCCCTAATAAGACACCTGCAACGCAGGCTATAATGCCCCTGTCTCTGGGGCCAATTTTTTGTTACAAATCTCCCTTCATGGGTCGGCCCCACGGGAAGGCCGCCGATACCTGCACGAGGCTTCCACAAGAACCCAACTAACAACAACAATAAATGGAGGGTTGTATTATCGAGGCTAGAGATGTTGATGAAAGTTCGATTTCGGAGGGTCATACGAGTTGGACTGTGCTTTGCAGGGATAGCAGCCCTAATATATTTACTCATACGCCTCTTCGTACCACCAAGTCATCGCCGAATAGATCTTAGGAAATATCAAAGCAATTTTCCCATCCTGTCCCCTTCCATTGAACCACGAGTTACCGACTTCGAAGACTTATTCGTTCTGGTGATAGTTTCAACTTCGCCCGACGACAAGATGAAAAGAAGAGATACGATACGTCGTACTTGGGGTAAATGTGACAAAACTAACAACAATTACAAATGGAAGGTTGTATTCATGATGGGCAAATCGTTGAATAGCGACATGAATGAAAAATTAATGGCGGAACACAAACAGCATGGAGATCTTCTTATAGCTGATTACATCGACAAGTATCGAAACATCACGACAAAACTTCTCATGTCATTTAAGTGGGCGACACAAATTAGATGTAACTATATTCTGAAAACTGACAGCGATGTTTACGTTGACATTCCCGAGTTAATAAAATGGATGCTGAATCGAGGCGATCCAAATTCTCTCTACGGTGGTGTTCTTTACAGAGGAATTGTAGTGAGGGATACATCACACCGTCACTACGTGACTAAAGACGATCTCTCTTTGGACTATTATCCACAGTTTTGTAAAGGCTCTATGTATGTTCTGTCGGCGAGTTTACTTCCAAAAATGCTCGACTTATCAAGGCAGGTCACTCGAATTGGACCTGATGACGCTTACGTAGGACTGTTAGCAGATCAGCTGGGAATATCTCCAGTGGGAATTGACAGATTTTTTCAGAAAAGTCTCTTACCGTATATCTTCTGGTTTATGAGTAAATGTGAGTTGAGAGATCTCCTTGGAATTGGTGACTCACTTACTCCAAGTCAATTGAACTACATTCATGAAGTGAAGCACGCCTCTTCTGTCTCCTACTATCTTTGTATTTCGTTGCTTGAGAAATTTTTCCTATTTATATTATTTTTAATCATTTTAACGTGTCTGCCGTTTTTAGGTCGTAGAAGGTTTTCTACAAGGATTTCAAAAGGAAAATGAGATCGTGTTTGATTATCTCTTCATTAGTTCAATTAGTACGTTCATACATTCATTTGTGCAATCATAAACTAAGTGGAACAAAATTGAGTCTGGAACTACAAGTATGATTTCTGACCAAAATTGCAAGATACAAACTTCAATTACCACTCTTTTACACCTATGAACAATCACAAAGTTGCGGTTCTTGAATAACTGTAAGAAATTAAATTCATTCATATTTTGGGGTAAAAAAAAAAGGGTTAGTGGGGACAGAAGTTGTTAAATTTCCCGCACATGGCTTTTTTGTTTCACTTCCCCACAATTTGATTGGTTGCTTTAAAGAAGCCTTGAAATTTGATTGGTTATGTTGCTGAAGTTTCTCTCTCTGACGTAGAAAAAGATGCAATTTAGAGTTAGATATTGCACAATTTGTGAATGAGTTGCATTGCTGAGAGCTAATCACATTGCAAGGATTGCCAGAGACTTAAAAGTGACTGCACCATAAATGAAATCAAATTCTCAGAGCTAAAATAAAGAGTCACTTATGAGACACAGTGCAGAGAAATGCTATCTCGATTTGGGGAGTTTAAGGGACATATACAACCTAAAGAAAACCATAATGTATGCTGATGTGTTTAGGGTCAAACAGGTCATCATAAGCCAGTTTGGGAAGAGCCATTTGTCCCCTCACTCCCATGAATCTGGTCGAAGAATTTAAAACAAAACCTAATGAGAAAACAAGTTTTCCTTTGGTGAATTGTGAGTTTCTTGTTCAGGCTCAAGGAACACAGAGAGAGTTCCTAACATGAAATCTATTTTTAAAGGTAAAATTGAAAATATAAAATACTTATTGACTGAGTTTGGTGGGTCCAGGCAGGAAAATATTTGGTTCTCTGTCATGACATACAGACCTACTGCAAAATATTTTCCCATCAGGCCCTCCCTCTTAGTCAATAAGAACATAGTTTTTTGTCTGATCCTGAGAAAAATTACACTGTTCAGGCACAAACAATGTTTTGCTGAAGTGTTATTGTGCACTAATCCTAAGGATTTTTAGCAAGTCAAATAAAAAGAAATTACATCTGATTGTGGCTTACAAATAGCACAACAGGAAAAGTCAAAATGTGATAAATAACTGCCATCTTTGATTTTTTTTAGTAGGGAGGGCTGGGAAGAGAAAGATATTTGTACCAAGGGGGTGAGCAACAGTCAAAATAAAGGGGAGGGGAGGGGTAGGGCAATGGAAATTATTGACAACATAGATTCACCCTGATAAGACACCTGCATTGCAGGCTAAACTGAAACAGGTAAAATTTTCAATAAAACTGTACATTATTGATAGTTTTTCCTCTATTTTTACACAAATAAGTCAGATATTTAAGTCTTCATCAGGATCATCTTCATCAAAGTCATCTGCTTCATCAGGTTGGTAGAACACTTTTCCTTCACCCAAAGGGTTTACAGTGACCTCGCTTCTCTCCTCTTCATGGTGCATGTAGGGAAGTTTCAGTTTAGATCGAGCTTGGCGCTCATTATCTGTCAGCATCAGACTGAATGTGAGATTTTTAGTTGGATCAACCTGAAAGATTACATTCAATTGTTGGTAAAATAACAGCAGAGAAAACTAGCTTTAAACTCACTATTTGTATCTTACATCACAAGAAAATGTCATTTTCTTCAGTCATTCAAAAATAAACTTGCACAAGGCTCACCTCATTAACAGATTCACTGACAGCTTTTGAAGAAGAACCATTCCAATCCTTTTCCTCGTATTCAGTCAGTACATGTTTATCATTGATGGCAAAGCTTTCAAACTGCAACAACAACCAGATTTGAAATAAGTAATGCTCCCAACCCTCTAAAAGGAAAAATAAAATTTCAACCTAGCTGTAGTGTCAGTGAGGAGGAAACATCCATCTAAGCATTATTGATAAAATTTTTACCAACTGTCAGTATTATTGTTAGATTTTCTGAGTTCTGTTGCATCATGATTCACAAAGACATTTACCCACATTGGGGGTGGGGATTGAAACTATTGATATTAATTAGCCGAAACATCTACAGTTACAATCAGTAAATACTCTTGGCAGAACAGGATAAGTTGATTTTAACAACTGAGATGATAACTAAGAATTTCCCACCATAGAGAGATTCAGAAGATTACATTTCATGCTTTAGCCCATCATCAGAGGGAATCAATCAGTTCCACAAGGCTAAAACTTGAAACTTCACATTCTTGACTCAGTTCATTAATAAAACTTATTAATTATCTTGTAATACCCTAGCATCTGCACAGTTTCTGTAGGAACTTAAAAGTCCTTCATTCATTTCTAGGTAGAACATTCTACACGTACCTTCTTTATCACTTTTCCAGTTTTCCTCTTGTGAAGAACCTTGCACCAGTTCACAGACTGATCTGCAACACATTTTACCAGTGAAATGATCTATCTTTTGCAGAGGAATGGATATATAATTAATTTTACTAAGTCTGAAATATCAGTGTGACAAATTTTCATAAATCAAAAATTACACTCAAATTACATGAATTGCCAGGCATGAAAAATGACAATTCACCTTCAAATTTGCGGCCTTAACCCTTTTCACCCTAACATCCAAATTCATTAATTCTAGATTCATACTGTTCTCAATACACATCCTAAGGTGCTGACAAGGAGAATTTGTGTAACAATCAAGAGCTTCTTTAGCTCATGATCATTGCCTTTATTCTCCAGACCTTAATGTGTGATTGAAGGGTGATATGGCAACCTGTTTTTTACAATTAAATGCTCATCTTGGAATTGAAAGGGTAATTTTTTTGTACAAAGCTTGTTGATCTTCCCTGATATGATCAGCTTATTAGATCTGTTTACTACCCTTAACCCTTTAACTCCCAGAAGTGATTACCAAGTAACTTCTCCCTATAGCATCCATACATAATACAGCAAACAGGTAATGAGAAGACTCAAACTCATCAGGTACAATTTATTACCTTGATTGAACACCTAATTCTTGTAATCAATTAACAAGGAAATGTGTAGCAGCTAGAGGGGAGAATTAACAATCAGATCTTGGGAGTTAAAGAGTTAAATAAAAGTTTGAGAAAAGTGTTATTTCTTTAATCAAAATATTTTCACCTTTCTCTTCCTTGTCCAGTGTAATCCAAAGAAGTGATGAAGCCAAGAAATTGATGGTATTTAATGTCTGGTCATCGTGAAGATCAGAATGCACTAAAGCAACAACTTGAACCACTTGATAACCTGACAAGGAAATTTATAAACAAAAAACCAATCTTTACCAGAGCAACACTACAACAACTAAAATAAAATAAATTTATTTTGCTGTGGGTCTGAGTGGGTGGGTGGAAGAAGCTCTTGATTGTTGAACAAATTCTTCATGTCAGGAGTGGTATAGAGAATATGCATACTGATCTTAGGGAGTAAAGGGTTAAAATAACTTCTTCTATAAGCCGCTGCCAATGTTGTTATAGGCAACTGTGCCCTAAAAAAGAGCTGCAGGGCAAAACCCAAATACCAGAGCCTAACTTGCAGGCTAAACAGATGACAGCAAGAGGTCTTACAGGCAGCGATAGACCATCAGTTCTTCCCTGTCAGTTGCAGTATTCCTACTCCCTCCTGGATGGGACCTCAATGATCCTTTACCACCCAGAATAGTTAAAAAAATTTTCAAAGAATGATTACCTTCCTGTGAGTGTGATGAGTTGGAGTACAGTTGATTTAGTAGTGTGCACACCATTGCTGAAGATTTCCACAGTAAAAGCCTACTCAATGAATTGAATACAACAGCTACCTTAACGACATCACCTGGAAAATAAGTAGCAATGACACAGCAGTGTAAGTCATTGAGCAACACAAACCAGTAGTAGTAAAAGCAACTTAACACTTGCACCCCTAAGAGTGACTAGCATCTAATTTCTCCTCACAATATCACCCCTGAATCATATATTAAGGTTGCAAGGTAAAGTAAAGCCTTTATATGGGCCCAAGTGGCCCATGGTACCGGTGCTTAACTTCGGTTTTCTTAGCATGAAGCAGCCAGGAGTATTGCTACTCCCTCCTGGATGGGATGCTAGTCCATCGCAGGGTTACCCCCAGCACATTTGCTGGTACCCATTTGTACACCTGGGTGAAGAGAAGCACTGTGAGAGTAAAGTGTCTTGCCTAAGAACACAACACAATGACCCCGGCCAGGGCTCAAACCCGATCTGGAGTCAAGCGCACTAACCATGAGGCCACCGCACCTCCACATTAAGGTCACAAGGATAAAGTAAATGATCATCAATTACACAAGCTCTGGATTGTTAAACAAATTCTCCTTGTCAGCTCCTTAGGAAATATATAGAGAACAATATGGAAAATATGTACACTGATTTTAAGGTATAATGGGTGAAGGTCACAAGAACAATGGAAATGATCACCAACTAAAGAACTCTTGATTGATAACCAAATTCTCCTGGGTACATAATCACCATGATTGATAATGGCAACCTTTTTTTAACAATTCTCACCAGACTTTGTTGCAGTATTTTGTGCACAGCAATGAGCTATGTTACTTTTCACCACTTGAGCGATGTTAGAGTCCTGGTGGATAATAGTCATATGACTATCTTGATGATCAGTTCTGTGAAACACAGTAGTAACAACAATTTGAAATCTCCACATTTTCCCTTAAAAAACTGAAAGCCTTCACAACAAAGTTAAAATTATATTGAACAAAATGTACAGTCAATAAACCCTTTAATCCTTTAACTCCCAAGATCTCATTAGTAATTCTCCTTGCTGTCTGCCAAATGATTCTGATTATGTTAGTTTGGAGAATTTGGTATCAGATAAATTAGTAATCCCATAATTGATATTTTTCTTAATTCTCATCACTTGTCTGCATGATATTGTATAGATATAGCATGGAGAAATTCTGTCTTGGTCACTCACATGTAACTTCTGCTTACAATATCCATACATTATCAAACAAACAAGTAATGACTAAAAAATAAACTTATCAATAAGAAGTTGTGATCCATCACTAAATTCTTGTAACTAACCTACGAGGAAATTTGTAGAAGCAAGCAGGGAGAACTGACAATCAGATATTGGGAGTTAAAGAACGAAATATAGGTTGCCTTGAGATGGTTTTAGTATGTATTTCTTTTCTCACAACTGACAGAGGAACTTAATTCCTGGCACAAAAATCCCCTTCTAACAAAGAATAAATTCGCAGCTTATGACCGTAAAGTAAAAGTATAAAGGCTGACAACTGCAAAGTGAAAAAAGATTGTCTTGCCTTGTAAGATTCCATCCAAGAGGATCTGAAAAGCCATCATAGCAATAAATTCTAAGAATGAAGAGAATTCAATGGAAAAATCTTGAGTTTACATGTTTAACAATCGGAACAGCTATCATACATTAAACATAACCTTACCTGAAAAAAAAATTATGACTACAGAAGGATTTAAGATTGCTTTTGTAACTTTCTATTACCAACCAAGATATCACAAGAATCACAGTGGAAAGCAAAAAAATATGAAAATGGCTGGTCTGTTAACCTTTCTTTCAAGTGTGGGTCAAATGAATCAGCAAACTGCTGTGGTGGTACATCCCAGAGTACTACATGCACATAGTCAGCCCTAGAAAAATAAATAAATAAATAAATTGCTGAAATTATGTCAAGGATTCAACAAATACTAGTAACCACTTTTCCAAATACTTTAAAACTAACCAGACAGCTGTGATAAAAAAGGCCAACCTATTATGCAAGAAATACCACATCAGCTTAATATAGATAGCCATTTAATAAATGATGACTTACTTCCTTCCCTCTACATTTCCCTAACCCTCCACTAGATATAAACCCTTGCATCTGAACAAAAAACAAGTTTGATGAAAAAAGAACATCAATTTTAAAAAAATTGTGTCTATTCTGATCTGATTTATTTAACTCCCATTGGTCAAAATGCACCATGCCAATTATTAAGCTGCAAATTAAAATGAACAATGTGTCTCAGTCAAGAGAGTCTTGATAGAGCTGGGGTGAGACAGGAATTAATGCCATTTGTTTATATTAGCTTACTAAATTTTCATTTGAGTTCACTCAGTACAAGATGTTGTTGTTTTTAGAACTAGTTGCTATTTTTCATACATATTTTCCTGGGATGTTTCCCAATCCAATACAGACCATGCTGCATTTTGAACATGTTACCCTGCTAACCTTGCGCGTTGGTTTGGAATTGTTTTGTTCTTTCTTTTTAATGAATTTAAAAGACGCCTTGCACAATTTCAACATTGGTTCAATTCAGTGGATGATCCATCTTGCATTTCACAATTTTCTCATTTGCAAAAATTACCTCTCCGGTAGCGACTTCACAAAACAACAGAGCAGGGGCTTACCATTTCGATTCACATCATCTGGAAAATAATGATAAAAAAATGTTTAAATGTTAGACGTTCATCTGTAAGATGAACTTTGCCGAATTTTCAACTGCACCAGTTCAAGCGCTTGAAAACTCACCATGAATGAGAACAAGATGAGAATTTTCTTTTCCATTTATAATATCTTCGAGAAGCATTTTCCACCTGTTTTTTTCACAAGGATGAAGAGTACTCTTGCACAGTGTTCACGCGATCCGCCATTTTGGCCGCGTTGTTAGCGTAGACCTGGGACCAGACAGCGCAAGAGTAGACAAAATGGTCAGCGGAAATATAACCTAGCAACAGTGCGTCCATGACGACACATTTTCATTGAAACGAAACAAATAGTTCTCATTACACTTCTAATTGCTTTTTCCAAAACTTCGAGAACAAGAATGGAAGAACACGCAGATGCGAAATGGAATTTACCGGGCTGGAGAATAGAGCAGAAGTACAGCACTGATGTACTGATCGGGAATTGGAACGAAGAACGTCGAGTGGTAAGTAGCGCTCCATCTTTTTAGTAGGGTTGAACATTTCATCATGCGGATGTGAAATAATTTCTCGGCACAATAGAACCCAACAAGCTGTGAACAATTAGCTTCGTAATATCAGCTTGCTAAGATCCAATTTTCCTTATTTCTTCAATGCTTAATAAGCCACATCCAAAAGAATTCTCTCATTCAATTTCCCATCGAAACTGTCAAAAGTCACTCGTGACTTTTACAATTTTGACTGAAATGCCCATTGTTGAAATAATTTTAATTCCAATAACTGAATTGCGTATTTGCTTGAACAGTTGTAGCGATGATAAACATCTTCTTTGGAAAAGAGCCAGAATCAAAGATCAAAAATATGAATCATTATGACATTACTTGATTAACTAATACTTAGTCGAGTAATTTTTTTTTTTTTGTAGATGTGTTTTGTATTCTTTTTGTTCACTAAACTTGAATAAAAGTAAATATTTTATACTGAATTCCTGACCCGCTAGTAGGTTGTAGTTGCTCAAATGGAGAAAAGGAATTTACTTAATGAACAAGAGTTTGAAATTTAGGAATAGATTAAAGTATTTAGTTTAGAAGCTTATTAAATTTAGCAGCAGTTTGGTAATAATTTCTGGTATTTATATATTCAAGCATTTCACACAATTTACTTGCGCAGTAAGTTTTGAGCATGAATTTTTTGATGGCTTTTTAATGAACATTAGTTTCTTTCCATGCTTATTACATGTTTCTCCCTCTGACAGGCTTCCATTACAGATATTTCTAAATTTTACTTTCAATTTCTTTGACCATCAGTAGGTCACCTCTGTAGTTTTTAAACCATGTTCTCTACTGATTAGTCACAAGTACATCCCCACCCCCTGCCCAATTACTGAAAATGACAGGGAAAAAGGGAACAATTAAATTGAGACCGTTTCCTTGGCAGGACCCAAGAAGTGCCAATTTTCTCTTCCAAGAGACAAAACTTAATTAAAATTAAATTTCACTGGTATTATATTGCTGTGATTTTTTTTATCAGTTTGGACGTGGTGACTCACACTTTGGGAGTACTCACAGAGTGGACTTCAAAAATTATGGAAAATTTCTACCAGATGTCACAACCAGACGAAAAGCTCTTCAGCAACATAATGTAAGTTAGTAGTTAAAATATAAATTACAACAAAATTGTTTTCTATCAACATTGCAGGCAAACTTTTATCTTTTTGTTGCACTGTCCAGGAACTTCCAGTGCCTCTAAAGATAATTGTTGTTAAAGGACTGAAAGATTATAGCCTTGGCTCTGGTTGTTGAGGGTGAATAAAACCACCCAAGAGAAAACTGCATAATAAGTCCCTAAACTAATTCTTTCCCTCTCAGGATCTATAAGCTATTTATCCTAACTGGTGGCCATAGCTTTCTTTGTTGACCATTAGTAAGAATTTGAAGCTAAATGAAAAAAAAGTCCACAATCCTGAAGAAAATTATTTTTCTACTTCTGACTAACTCCTTGTCTGACAGTCTATTAAATTTATCTCGAGAATATCTAGAACCATTGCCCCTGAGATTGAAAGAAGTAATAAATCACTCCCTAGATTGTGATAAATCCACAAGATACCCAAAGTTCTATCTAGCTAAGCCACAAGTGACAAACTCATATCTTTGAACAACTTTTATAACCTTCTGTACATGATAGTTCTAAGAACTGGCTGCCCTAGATTTAAAATCAAGAGCCTCCTAGCATCCAATTTTTTTTATGCAGCACAGCTTCAATTTCAATATCCCCCCTTTGTAAGGTTTAAGCCTGATGAAAAAAAAAATAGTTTGTAAATTAACAAATAAAGTGTTATTCTATCAAATAGTTTCTTTCTTTAACGTTTATTGATTATTTCAGGGGCTAGGAAAAGAGTTCATATTCTCCCATCATCAAAAAGCTTATGAGGGCAACAGAATATCCTGGTATGACCAACAGTTTAACAAGCGTGAGATTACAGAGTCAAGGCTGCCACCACTGAGGAGCTGGGACAGGCAAAAGTTAGCCTGGGCACCAGAGAAATCTGATTACCCTATCCAAGGTTTGTTCTAAGTAGACTCTTCATCACCAAAGAGGAATTTCTTCAGTATCAACCCATTCTCAATTCTTTCAGTGCATGACATGTTGATGCAAGTGGCATGGTCAGTACTCTTATCAACAACAGCAAATTGGCCAATCAGATTGCAACATTACTGCTAATTGTGATAAAAAAAAAATCAAGATTCAAAATAATTAAATAGAGCTTTCCTTGAGAGTACTTTTGATGTCATTTAGATTTACATCTGATAGTATGCTTGACTGTTCAACTATGACAAGGACAGTGGAACAACAAACTGGGGAAGTTCAAAACCCAATACCATGAAAGCTTCTATGGAGACTTGGGTGTAGGTTCTCTGCAAAAAGCTATCCCCAAGTTATCATTCCAAGAATTAGACGGGTAGGTAATTAACAATTTTTTTTTCAATGTTTATCTAGGACCTCCTACTAACTACGGACTTCTGAAGAAACTTCAGCAGAAGTGGAAGAATGAGGCAGCTTTGGAAAAACTTGGGACAAATGTGTCCACTTACAACATGTCATTCAACCAACATCCAAAAGAATTATTTACATTTCAACACCATGCAAGACCAAAAAGTCTCTCATGTCACTTCCATCCACATAACATCAACAAAGATCTGCATTTACGAGGGAAACAACTCAGCACTGCTCCAGAATTTCCTCCAACTCTTGCCATTCCACACAATGTTCCTCCAAACTTTCCACAATCAACCATACTGGCAATTTAAAACCATTTCATAAAAAAAAAGAAAATTGGGGAAATTTTTTTGTGCATGTCACTTTTCTGTGATAACTTTTTTCTTACACAACAGCTGCTCCCAACTTTATTTATTCATGTTTTTATATGTAAATAAATAGATACCATGAAAAAATACTTTTTAGATTGCCTATCTAATTAAAAGTGACCCTTTTTGGGTTAACCCCTTAACTCCCACGATCTGATTGTCAGTTCTCCCCTTTAGCTGCTGCACATTTCCTTGAAATTAGTTATGAGAATTAAATTTTAGATCAAGAAAACAACTTCTTCCTGCAGATAACTTTGGGTTAATTCTCATAACCTGCTTACTGGATAATGTATGGATACAATAGAGAGAAGTTAGATGTTGATCACTTCTGGTAGTTTAAGGGTTAAAAGTTGCTTTATATGATAACTTAGCAGAGATAATTCAAAAGTTGTTTTATATCTGTTGATTAAGAAATGGTCACCTGCACATAATACTGTAACAGTGACTATGGGTTATACAAACAACACAGTGAGGTTGTAATTAGTTAAATTCTGGATACACAAACAATAGGCAGACTGGAAATAAGTAAGTACATAATATTCTATATTGACTTTGCCACAGAAATTATACTCTTAAAAAATTGTCTAGCATTATCATTACCAATGATTATCACAATACTTGTATAATGATTATCATTTAATACTTGAATGATTTATTGACTGTTATGCAGACTTGGAAAGCAACTAAAAAGTTGCAAAATCTCTTCTTAAAGAAATGTGGTCTTTTTTATCATAACTACCAAAATATTGGCCCTTAATGTAACTCTGACAGGTTATAAATTACTGAGCTTGTAATTTGAGCCATTCAGTGGAAATGAGCTAATTATTCATCTTAGACACATATACTATTACTGTTTGGTTTTTGTAAAAGGTCACACAATGATTTGTACAATTTATGACAAAAATGTTTAGTAATATATTTTCAAAATAAAACAGCACCGTTCACACAGAAAATATTGGCAGTGTTGACTTTTCTTTTTAACTAATTATTCTTTCCTTTATATTGAATTTTTGCATTATTTTATCAAAAAGCTTACCACCTTGTGTTACATTCACTTAAGCATTCTTCACTTCCACTACTTTGCATACTGCTTCATGCTTGCTGTAGGTCATTTTTTATTTGCAGGCCTAAAAAACTGTTCTTGAAAACTCTCTGGAACAGCAAGCAGAAGCACCTGTTCAAGCACTATAGCAGTGAGGCCCCAAATCTTGCGAGGTCCATTGAGAAACAATGGATAGACAGTCTGAGATGTAAACTTAGTATAGCCTCGATTGAGTGGATTACAGACATGTGCCAGTGAAAGAGTGAAGACAGATTCCACCTACAGATGAGAAAATTTATAAAATTAATTAAGCTTTTGGTTCTAAGATATCTTTTCATTCTTTTTCTCCTTTCAAGCCTGTCCCCATTTCAATCACTAGAATTTCCTAATAAATAAGTTTAAAGAGTATGATGTTGTGAAATCTCCATTTTTAATGATAATTTAACCCTTTCGCTCCCAAGATCAATTTTAATTCTCCATACTGTCTGCCATACAAAGCTTACAATTCTATTCTAAGAATTTAGTATTGGATCAACTAATAATCCCCTAATTGATATTTTTCTTTATTTTCATCACTCTTCTTCTTGATGTTGTTTTGACACTGTGTTTATGTTACCCAGATCAATACACTAACCAGGAATAAAATTTTACACATGACTAAAAGAAAAGTTTGAAAAAACTGTTATAGTTATTATTTTCATTATTGATTCCTTACCTCCTCTGGGTTTAATTTAAGTGAATTCACATCAATTTCTCCAAGAAAACCAATAACAGGAGTGACAGCTTTTTTACCAGTCTAAAATAAAGTTTACAATGACAGTCATAAATGAATGAAAATATTGCAGAACTACATAGACTTCACACTGCTCTCATCTCACGAAAAGCTTTTCTGCTCCACCAGCAACTTTCAGTTATAACAAAATAACTGACAAATGCATGCGTGGCATCCTAGTCAACAGTGAGTCTTACACCCTTTCACTCACTTAAAGTAATTCTTCTTACTCAGTCCACCATACAGTTTTTATGATGTTAGTTTAGAGAATTTAGTATTGGATCAATTAATAATCCCCTAATAGATATTTTTATTTTTTCTTGTCTCTTGTCTTCTTGATAATTGTAAAGGAAAAAATTATGTCTTGGTCACCCTTGATAGTTAAAAGGTTAATTCAAATATCAGTGTTAATATCCCTGTCCCACAGATATAAAATTTATCATTTCTACAACTGAGGGAGGTGCAGTGGTATACTGGTGAGTGATATAGACTCCCAGTTGAGAGGTCCAAGTTCGAGACCAAGCCTGTGTTGCATTCTTGGGCAAAATACTTTACTCTCATGGTGTCCCGGCCTCATGGGTATGGGAAAATTGTTAGGAATCCTGATGAAATGCTGGGGGGAAAATCTTGCCATAGACTAGTGTCCCATCCATGGGGGGAGTAGTATTTACTCCTAGTCACTTCATGCTGCTTGGAAACTGCGATAAGCTCCACCTGGGTGGGCTAATAAGCTCATGTACAGACTTTTCACATCTTCATACTCATATAAAAATAGATACCCGATCTGGAAATGCTGGCATCTGTGCCCAGACTTGAACACAACTTCTCTCTAGTCCTAATTCCTCTTCCATTTCCCGAACAGCTGTGTCTACAATACTGTTATCTTCAGGATCTCTCTTACCACCTGGAAAACTATGAAATGATGGCAATAAGTCATTACATAAAAGATTCATACTAGCCTAAACTGTGCCAGGAATCAAGAAACATTGATTGATTTAAATTATCTGATATTAAATCTCAGATTGCTTATTAAGCTTAATACCAAACTTGGATAAACAGCTCAACTTGATTAAGCGATGAGGTTCAAGGACATTCACAAAGAAGGAAAAAGGGAAGGAAAAAATGGATTTTAGCAGAGGCAGTTCTACAAGATGGCTCTATTGACTGTTTTCAAGTGGAACTGCAATTTGGAGTATTGGTTTTTGAGGTGAGATGAAAACCAGAGAACCTAGAGAGAAACAACAACCAACAACAAAAACATATGGTCTAACTCAGGCCATTTCAGACTGAGGCCAGTCCTTCCACCTCTGCCCTATCTCTGCCTCCACAATAACTATGGATTATTATCATGATTTACAGATAATTAAGATAGTGACCCCATGAGATTAACAACTAACCTAACTTCTCCTTTGTGACTGTTCAATTGACTGGAACGAAGAGTAAAAAGCACTGAGGGAACAGAGTTCACAAGACAGAAAGGGACAAATACAGCAGCCTCCTCAGAGCACCTTGCCAGCAAAGACTTAGGAGTTCTCATTTTTCCAAGCTGCCTGACAAGGCGGTCTTTATTCTCCTCTGAAAAGGCATCACTGAAATTTGAACACGTTCCTGTCAAACTGGACGTTCTTATTGTTCTTGAATTGCGACTTCTTGGAAAGAAAGGCGAGCTGCTGGAACGACTAATATTTGATGAGAATTCAGAGGTTGGGTAACATCTTGAAAACCGTAGTTTACGAAAAATTCTTGCGCCTTGTGTCGTCGTGGAGTTCATTTAGACGTTTTTCCCTTCCAACTGAAGGTAGAGTTTCGACGTGTAAAAATAAAATTACAAAAATGACGCAAACAATTTCACAAAGATATGCAAAATTTTCGACGAAGTAATAACTGAACTACGACAATCTCTTTGACGAAGCAGCACCACCTTATATTAGCCTCATAGCAGTACAGCTTTCTGCCTGAATGTTGTAGCTTTATAAATCAGCTTTTCTATAAACACGTTAGTTGACCAAAAACGAGTATCCATCGTGGACTTCTGTTCATGGTTCATTCAAATTTCGCCGCAATTTTGACGTTTCATAATCAAGTGTTTATGTAAGTTACATGAATATTCTTCTTTTGTTAAAACGCCGCTGTGCACTATAGAGCCTTCAGTCAAACATGACGTTAGCGAAAAGAACTGTAGAGCTTTTTTACGATGTTATTTCACCATATTCTTGGATCGCGTTTGAGGTAGGTGACCTAATTTACAGTAACAATTTATTTTATAGACTGCATTCGCGTCTCAACTGTTAAGAAAACGTTTCCAAGGACGGGCAGATTTTGTACAGCGAGAACCAGCTTCACTGCTTGATGAGCGCTCTTAGCTCACGGATATCTGAGGCGCGTTAGACGCTTAGAAGTATCGGAACAATGGCAGTATCTGAGCAACTGCACACCCTTCCCCTCCCCTAACCCAAAAACTGTGCATCCACCCCTCCCTTAACCCAACATTAACCCAAGATTGTTCTCAGTTGACCGTTGTTGGGTTAGCCGGGGGGGAGGGGTAAGTGCCCTGTTACTCAGATACTGATATTGACGCGAAGTATCAATAAGAAAGTGCTGCATCTCTGGAAATGATTTAGGTCTGGTTGATTTTCTGATATCTTAATGTTACACAAATACAAAAATGAGGAATATCCTTGTCAGGATACTAGGGTGGGGATATACAAAGAGCCAAAAAATTTCAGCAGGGGTGGGAAAGAGGAGATTGGCTAGGGAAAACCCTTTGCATAGCTTTCTGTCTCAGAGTGAGATGATGTGTCAGTTTAAATTAATTTAGTTAAATCTTATAAGAAAAATACCAAATAGACTGGTACTGGAAAAGAAACTTTTTACAAATTCCTTATGAAAACAACTTTTGTATTCATTTATTGACAGGTCCTTTGTCGCTATAGACCCAAATGGAATTTAGACTTGCAATTCCGTCCTTTTTTTCTGGGAGGAATAATGGCGGGCTCAGGTATAAGATTATTGAGGTTCTTTTGATTTGTTGTTAAATTTTTTGCACACAACAGATGGGGGAATATAGATACCAGAGTGCATATTTCGAGTACAGTTTTTTTTTTAGCATAATCCATTGATTCACATTACACTTAAGAAACTAATGCACCTTATATGAGTTTTCACATAATCATACATATTTACAGTTTTTGCTTCTGATCTATATGCAATAATGCAAGTATTTAAATTTGAACCAAATTTTTCTGTCATACGTTAGTGTAACTATGAAACAAGCATTTCAATGTAAAATAAGCATTTCAGAGTGACAGTCCATGACAAACTGAATTACTAAACTGTCAGTGGGTCCTCAGTGTAAATTATAAAGACTCCTCTTTCATCCCTTATACCCCAGCATCAGTATGCATATTCTCTGTACTGTTCCCTATGCACTTTTTAAGGTGTTGAAAAAGAGAATTTGTCTTCCAATCAAAAGCTTTTTGAGCTGATGATTTTTTCCCTTTTCTTATATATGATCTTCATGTATGATTCAGGGGTGATATTGTAAGGAGAAATTAGATGCTAGTCACTCCAAAGGGTCAAAGGGCAAACATTGGCAGAATACCTTACAACAGTCTCTCTTTCCTGTAATCTTTCTCACTTATGCTTGATGATATTCCCATATTCCTATTTATGAAATGCGTAGGTAACAGACCTCCAGCAATGGTTCCAGCTAAAGGTGTTTACATGATTAAAGATATTCAAAGAATGCAGGAGTATTATGGAATCCCTATTATTCCACCTTCTGTGAGTGTTGATATCAAGATTTTATCTTTTAGATGAGTTGGTATGGAAACAGAGATCCAGTGACCATGTAGATCAGAAAAGAAGCATCCTTTGCCAAATTTTTAAAAATCCCTCTTTGTCCATAATATAGTACTTTTGATATTGATCAAGAGATGTATGGATATTCTAGGGAGAATTTGAATCACTACTGGAAGTTTAAGGGTTAAAATACATTGAAGGACAGGGTTTTCAAGAAAGGAAAAAATTTTTAAATGTTGATATTATTGTAGGTCAAGTCTTATGAAATGGAAAGATGTGTGGAGTTGTTTTTCCAAACCATAATAACTGCTAAATTATTTTTTTAAGGCTCTGTAAAATCAGTAAATAAGCTGAATATACTTAGGTTTGCCAAAACTTTTTATTAACTGAGATGCCATGGGAGCATGATAAGTCAAATCTGGACACTCTCTATAAGTGAAAGTCTGCTTGCTTCAATTATACTCATAATCTTGAGTCTTGAAAATAAACATTAATTTTTTTTAGAAAAATACTGGACCATGGTTCAGAGTATTGTTCACAAAAATTAATGTACACAAACCCTCTGGTGACTTCAGTCTGTTAGTTAACCCTTTAACTCCCAAGATCTGATTGTTAATTCTCCTTTTTGGCTGCTACATATTTCCTTGTAAACTAATTACAAGAATTTGGTGTAAGATCAAGATAACAACTTCTACCTGATAAGTTTGGGTATTCTCATTACCTGTTTGCTCAATGATGTATGGACACAATAGGGGGAGGTTACATGTTGATCACTTGGAGAGTTTAAGTGTCAATGAAGAATAACAAATATATGTTGTGTTGGGAAAGGTTGATTTCCCACACTAAATTGCAATTCAGCTCTGAAAATATTTTTTAAATTATGTTTTCTTTAGGATCCAGCCAATGTGATGTTTACCAAAGGTAACAGTTTAATTTGTTTCTTTCAGGAGTATTTGTATATAGGATATCAATATAGTTTTATTTTGAATTAAAATCATGCTTGATTCAAGCAGTTGTTACTATTTTACTAAGTCCCCATTCTCACCAGCAAAACATGTTTAGTTAAACTGGGTTTAACTAAATGATAATCAGAACCAGAGAACTGAAAAACAGAATTTTCCATAGGACCCAAGTAGTCACTGTCTTGTATTTCCGACATGCTAAATTGAAAGAAAACAAATTTAAACCATGTCTAACAACAGACAACTTATCGAATATCTTAAAAGAATTTGACTTGAGCTTTGAACTTCTCAGTGAATTTAAAATTCAACTGTGTTGTGAGATCCTTTCAGAATATAATAGACAATAGCAAACTTTTTCAATTTAATTGCCAACAGGTTCTCTACCTACCATGCGACTTCTGACAGCAGCATGGAAATACCACCCTGAGAAACTTGAACAACTTAGTCGTGAGTTCTGGATGAGAGCTTGGTCCAGGGTGTGTTGATAATTATTATTAAAACCACTAATTAATTAATAACTATAAACAATTGATCTTGAACAGATGACAGTTTTATTTTGCTAAGCTAAGAATATAATGTCACAAACAAACACAAAAAAAGAGACAAAAAAGTTGTCAATAAACTGATAGACCCACCATATTTTACTAGTTTTTGTTAACAATTTTCCTCAGCACAATAAACTGTAAGGATCACTTCTGTATTTGTCTCTTCGACCACAGTGCATGTTTGATTTTCATTTATGTACAGTCATTATTCACCACTTGGAGGGTTTATTTGTAACCAACATAGTGACCAGCAACTCAACTCAGTTGGTAGAGCGCTGTACTGGTATCACAGAGGTCAAAGGTTCAAATCCCATACAGGCCTGAATTTTTTTTCATGCCTTATTTCAACTACTAGTTCAGTAGTGTTCATAACTGCAGGATCAATTCTACATTTGTTAATTTTTGGTTTCTTTCTTACATGCTATACATTTTGAGTGTGTCAATTGTTTAATATGTGCATTAAAAGCAATTTTTTTAAAATATAGAATTAAGTGTTCCACCCCTCATAAAAAAGAGGTGTTGTACTACACCCTCCTTCCTGACAAAGGTCACCAGCTAAGCTTTCTACAGCCACTGCTTTTCTCTGTCACTAAGGTGCCATTGTTAAGTTCCACTTTAGATATATTTTTTTTAACTTTTATTTCTTTGTTTCAGGATGAAGACATTGTTGAACCTCAAAGTTTACAGGAGGTAAGGGTGTGCTGCATATTTTGATGGTAGCAAATCTTCACAATCGCAAAAATAAGGTGGCACTCCATCACAGATGGATCTGCAAAGAGTGGACTTCATTATTTTGTTGGAAGGAAATTTTCTGTCGCATTTGAGATATTTTAGATATCTATGATATTTAAGCTTAGGGTGCAACAAATTATGTCAATTTGAACATTAGACAGCCTGGCCATTATGGTTGATCACTGAGATTTTAGGAGAGGACTACACACATAGTGAGTTTTGGATGAGTCTGACGTAATCAAAAAGCTCTGATAAAGGGCTAATGCTCAGAATATCACTGCTTTAGAAACACTTTACAGTGGCCAATTAACATTATCAACTCAGTTGATAAAACCAAATTATCTTGTTAACTGTTTGACTCCCAGATCAAATTTGTAATTCCCCTTACTGTCAACCATATAATTCTTATAATGTTAGTTCAGAGAATTTAGTATTGGATCAACTAATTATCCCCAAATTGATATTTTTCTTTATTCTCATCACTTATTTGGTTGTTATTGTATTGATATTGTAAGGAGAAATTCCATCTTGGTCACCCATGAGAGTTCAAGGGTTAAGCTATAACTGCCAGAGACAAAGCACCACTCTTTCTTTAGAAACTTAACAAGAAGACTTGCTTCCAATGTCAAAAAAAAAGTCAAAAGGCAATTGATTCTTGATGCGTTGTTAATAGGTGTGCACAAAAGTTGGATTAAGTGCAGATGAAACTCAGGCTCTCATTAGTAAGACTAAAGACCAGGAAATCAAGGATACTTTGAAGGAGACCACACAGAAGGCTCTTGATTTAGGGGTTAGTACGTTAACAAATCGGTGGGATTATGTGGTTACAAACAAGATAATTTCAATTGATTTTATCCAATGAGTTGTAATGTAAATTAGCAGCCGTGAAGGGTTACTGAAATTGACATTTGAAGCGTTAACCCTTAGTCAGAGAGAATAGCCCCAGAAACTCTTCACAGTGGCTAATTTACGTTATAAACTTAGTTAACAAAACAGAATTATCTTGTTTTGCAATCCACCGACGCAGTACCACGGTTTAATTTTCTTAGAAACCTAGCCCTGTTATTTAATTGTAGAGTTGTTAGTGGACTGAGTCCTTGGCACAGGCTTGAGTGTGTGATTGATACAGGATAGGTTAGCTGTGTTATCTTAGATTTGTTTGGAACTATTCTACTGAAATGTAGGCAAATCTATGGGACTGTCAATTTTGATTTCAGGCCTTTGGAGCTCCGCTGATTGTCGCCCATGTCAATGATGAGCCTCACACGTTTTTTGGCTCTGACAGATTTCTCCTGATTGCCCACTTGTTAGGTAAGTTCATAATATAACTATTGTAACTTGAATCTTTTGACTGGCTGGGCTGTCTTTTTTATATTTAAAGCTTTTTCATTTTTGTCTTTTTTTCCTCTAGGAGTGGAATGGGAAGGTCCATTGAGGTCTCAAAACTCGAAACTTTAACATTAGTCTCAAACTGCAACTGAACCAAACGGGAATGTTTTGCAACCTGGACTCACTGTTCGATCTTGAATACCAAAACGATCAAAGAAGTCCCGATGAAGTAAAACCGTTTTCAAGCTTCCAGGAAAATGAAAACAACCTTAAACTCTCTATAATGATAATGCAATGTACACTGTGGAATAAATGTTCTCGCACATGGTAGACTTTCTGAAGCTTCTGAACCGCCAATAGATCCAACAGCCAAATATGATTGAACAAACCTTTGAGATATTTTGTGTGTCACTCATTTCTCACTTAAACTCTTTCCTTACTAATATCTCGATGAAAAGTCTCCTTACTTTTGCAATACATTTCTTTCAAAGTTTGTTTTAAGAATTTGGTGTTGGATCAAATGATAATACCCTCGTTCTTATTTTTCTTTACTCTCATCACTTGTCTACTTGCTATTGTATTGATATTGTAAGGAGGAATTCTCGTTTGGTCACTTATTGGAGTAAAAAAGTTAAACAAGCATTACGATTGTTGTAGAAGCCGTAAGTTCCAAATAAAACACTTTGAATTAAAAAATAAACCGGTGAGAAAGATGTGTTTAATCACAATGTAGTGGACTGTTATATATTTTACATTAAGAACACACATTTTTCTTGTTTTCTTATGTATATCACGCAGTACGTATCTTTGTAGCTTTTTTTTTTTTTCAATTGTTCTTCTCTTTTTTTTTTGACAAACGCCCTTTGAAACAGGACCAAGGTAGACGTATAAAATCGGAGGCCAGCCGGGAAACATTTCTTCAAATTCATCAAATTGGTACTCGTATTGAATCCTTTTTGTATATATATATTTCTATTTCAGTTCAAAATGACTAAAATGAAACACGCATGATTCCACAGGGAATCATGCGTGTTTCATTTTAGTCATTTTGAACTGTATTTCGCTTTACACTCATGTGTATCAAGCACTTTCCAACAGCATTTGCTACAATTTTCCCATAATTATATTTCTATTTCAAAGTTCAGCGATCGAGTTCCTCGCAGCTTCGAATTTCATGATCGGGTAAATGCGCGACGTACAAAGTATCTCGGAGATCGTATTTCAACTGGGCACGACTGTAGTGATTCAAATGAAGTCTTATTTACAGTTGGTGTGATTTCTCAGAAAGGGGCATATCTCTAACGACCACAGAGAAGAGGTCCCATAAATCAAGGGGCTTAGGAAGAGGACGGCGCACACAGAGGTTAGTAATGATGATAGGAGGGTTTTATAACCAGTCGCGGTGATTTGTACCCGGTAGGGATAGGTGATATACTGTTTGGTTGTGAGCGAGTGTTGATTTGAGATGAAGAGCTCTGCTTCTTCCAATCTTCAGATGTCTCGGGAATGTCGGTTTTTCTTCGAGTTTCCTCGTCAATCGGTGGGGATCTGCTTTCCATGTCCTCGATACATATGGACTTCGTGCGTCTTCTTTCCGAGTCGACAGTATTGGGGGAATCCCCCTTAAAATTATTCGTGGATCGAACAAAACTCCCATTTTTTCGCTCAGTCGCGGGCCTCTCTTCAGGAATTTCAGTTTTTCTTCGTTCTTTAGTCACTTCCTTCTTCATCTTTTTCTTACTTTTAGTTTCGTCTTGTATTGCAGGCGTTCTTTGCGACGTCGTTGTTACAGCGGTGATATCTGAACTAAAATCTTGTGATTTACTCAGTGACTCTTCATCTGATGAAGGTTCGGGATTTTCAGATTTTCTTTTCTTTCTCTCCTTTTCTTTTCTTTTCTTCTTTTTCTTTGTCTTGGTCTCGTTATTTTGTGATGCAACACACCTGTCACTCTGTTCTTCAGATGTACCTATCGCTACAGCCAATCCATCCTTTAAGTCCAGAATAGAATTTGCCTTTTGTTCCGTGGACGAATCATCCGAATCAACCACTTTTGTCTTCGTTTCCTTCTCAGCTTTCTCTTTCTTCTTCTTCTTTTTCTTCTTCTTTTCCGTAGCTGCAGTATTCTTATCCTCAGTGACTTGTTCAGTAACTGGTTCATCCATCGTGGCTCTAGCCACTTCCGGGCGGCTTTCCCCAAATCTAGCGGGCTCTGCTGTAGATTTTCTCCGCTCGTTCAAAGGCGTAGTTGGCTTTACACGGATATTTGTCACGCTTTCTTCAGAGTCCTCTTTCACCCCTGTAATCGCGGCAACGGAAACAGAGTTTTTCTTTTTCGCCGTGGGAGTAGCTGATAGTCCACTCCCCTTCATTTTTTCCTTCCCAGAACTCTCCGCATCACTGATACCAATTTCTTCCGCACGAGGCGAATGTCTAGAACCTCCTAAAGTTGACGCCATAGTGGCCTTTTTCCCTTTAGAGTAAGTGTCTTTCGGGGTAACAAGTCTCCTTTCAGTATTTGAAAAAGCTGGGGAAGGTTTTCCACTATTCTCGTTCAAGTTCTGCCCCATCTTAGACTTGTTTGAACTCTTGACTTCCCGCGCGGATCCTTTTCGAATCCCTTCGTCTTCGCCAACGGGAGTTATGGAAGACCTCTTGGAATTTTTCACACCGTTTGAAGGCGACAAAAAGTTTTTCACCTTCTTCTGCTTCTCTTGTTTTTTGTCCTTGGCAGGCAGGAAAACCGTGTCTTCACTGGCGTCTAAGCTTAAATCTGAGGAAGCAATGGAGCTCTTCCTTTGTTCATTAACACTACTTGCATTCACGGATAGCTTTGCATTTCTTTCTGCAGGTGTAGGTGATTTTGAATTTCCTCCCGGCTTCCTATGAAAACCTGGAGAACTATTTTCAGTTGCTTCTTCGTTCTCGATAAAAGCTGGGTTTGTAATACCTGGCGAATAAGGCGGGCTAGAATAGGAACGACGAATTACTCGTTCATCATCGCTATTCAAAATGTCGCTCAAGGTGTCATCGTCTAAATTCGACATGCTTCCGCTATCAGTGATCCGCTTGTCCTCAATATCAGAGTCGTCATCGTCTAGAATGAGCCTTGGAGGAGTCCGCTGATTATGTAGCTCAGTAGGTTCGTAGGCTGGTACAAGGGACCTCACGGGGTAGCCAGGGGGCCACTGCTTTTTACCCTCGACGTTGTTTCGAGGCAAGTTCAGCGAAGATGAAGCGCTCCCATTGGCTGAATGAATGAAAATATCGAAAGGCTTTAGGTGACGTAGATTGCATGGCAATATATAGCTGTTTTTAATTGGGTTTCGAAAGTAATCTTAGATTATCAGGGTAATTTGATATTATCAACTGAGTTGATAACGTCAATTGACCACCGTTAAGAGTTTCAAAGCTGACGTTGGCGAACGAATAACTAACGCACGAAATGTCAGCTTTGAAACTCTTTAGGATGGCCCATTTTCGCTATCAAGTCAGTTCATGATGACCAAATTACCCTGTCATCCTCTCCCGTCACGCAGCACCACAGTTTCTCTAGAAACTTACCCCCTTTCGTCTGAGATTACATTGGTTTTGCTTCGATTTGTCGGGGAAAAGTGCATTAACCGTGAACATCGTAAGACGGGTTTTATCAGGTGTGGCTTAGTGAAAAGATAGCAACACATTACCGGTCTCAGTTTTCAACCAGGAAAGAGCGCAGTGTCGTGCGATAACTGTGCCTGCTTCGTGTCCAATAAATACTATAATGAAAGTTCACTAGGTATGTACTTCGCAAAAAGACTTGAATCCGAACCTTAGTCTGACTTACATTCAAACTCTTTTTAGACTCTATAGATTTGTATTTTCACGTACGCCCACAATGCCAGGAACGACTTGTGTTAAGAAAACTTGCCAGTGTGAACAGAGTTTTTTATTTTTACATACCTGAGACACGCTCATTTTCTTCCATGGCTTCCTTAATTTTCAGTTGCTTCAGTTGCTGGTCTGTTTTGTGATCCAAACGGTTGCTGTTGATCGGTGTAAATTTCTTTTTAGACAAAAGCCAGGATTGTTTGATAAGCTGCCATAAAACACACAAAGTAACGAGTCCCAAGATGGAAGCGCCTGCATAGATCATCGGCTTCAAATCCATATCAATGGGCGGGACCCCCTCTGTCGGAGGGAGGGGTGGAGGTGAAGGCGTGGGCGCTTCGTGCAGATCATATGAGTCACCATACATGGCGGACAACATAAAGGATGAATAAATGGTAGTTCCATCCCATAACGGAAAAACGAGAGAACTGTTAACTTGTAACTGTCTTAGTAAGTCAAGGGATAGTTCAAGCGCAGTATCGTTTCTTCCGTAGATTGTGATATTGGCAGCTAAACTGTCGCAGTCCTCCTCGATCATATAGTAGCGGTCTGTGTTGTGATAGTTAAATTGCTTCTCATTTTTTTTCTTGTTACTTCCTTTCATCCGACCTCCCACTGCCAGGCGCTTCGCGCGATGATGTGCCCTGATGCTTGTCACGTCCACCCCGCAGTATGGCCGCTGACCAGTGGCACAGCTCGTGTTGGTCACTGTGATCTGACTCGGTGGAATGCTTGTGAGGCTTGTAATTCCTTTTCCCAATGAGTTTGTCAAGTTTTCTTGAAAATTTTTAATCTGATCACAGTCTAGCACAAATACCAGCAGCAACGTGAAGTTCCAAGTTGGTTGTGCTATAACTGGTGGGGCTGCAAAACGACAAAAAAAAGAGAATGACTTTTGGCTCCAGGCTCGAAGCAAAGCGGTCGATAGACGAAATGGACACTATCTTGAGTGTTAAAAGGAATGTATTCATTATCTGCTGTTTGAAGTTTACTGACCGTGTAAAAACGGAAAAAAGAAACGAAAAACAACTTCATTCTTGTATTTAGCGGGAAAGAGTCTCAAAGAATCGATGCTGCTGAGCTTTAAAAAAACATTCCAGTCACTATTTTGCATTAAATTTAGGAAAAACTCAAGGTTGGTGGCTAGTTTTTACCGCTCTCTCGAATCCAGTCTTTGTATCTTTCCGAGAAGAGACTTTCAGGAGAGGAGCGTGGCTCACTTTCCGCGGGACAGCAGTTCGCTAATTAACTTACAAGATCTGTTGTTTACAGCTTTTGACATGTTCTGTAAATTGCCTGAGAAGAGACTTTCAGTTGAGGAGCGTGGCTCACCTTCTGCGAGACGGCAGCTCGCTAATTAACTCACAAGATCTGTTGTTTACAGCTTTTAGCATGTTCTGTGAATTGCCTGAGAAGAGACTCTCAGTTGAGAAGCGTGGCTCATTTTCCGCGGGACCGTAGCTCGCTAATTAACTTACAAGATCTGTTGTTTACAGCTTTTGTCATGTTCTGTGAATTGCCTGAGAAGAGACTTTCAGTTGAGGAGCGTGGCTCACCTTCTGCGAGACAGCAGCTCGCTAATTAACTTACAAGATCTGTTGTTTACAACTTTTGTGATGTTCTGTGAATTGTCAGGCTGAAAGTCTTTTTAGATTTGGTGATGAAACTACAAATTCCGTCCCTTTAGGTGTTGGCCCCACTGAATGGAAACATTTGTATTTTATTCCAACTCGGATTTTACTGCTGCTCAAACATTCTCTTTGGATTTTTTTAATGTTTATTCTGCGTTCTTTTTTTTCCACAAATACTTCAAGAACGCCGAGATAAAAGCCAAATACAGACTTGTACTCGATTTCGTCCTAAGTCAGCCAAATTTAGCCAAACAGGTTTCTTCATTTTTAAAACAACGCCTACTCTATAAGAAACTTCTCTTTGTAAAACAAAGCAAAAAAAAAAAGAAGAAACAATACTTTTTCCTTACCTGTTACAGGTGAAATTGAAATGTTGTGACACTTTTCACAACAGTAGGTTGTATTTAGGGGACATAAACAGCAGGTCCACTGAGACGCACTCTCATTAGATGCACCTGTCAGGTTTACAAAAGTCTGCTGGTCAAGAGTACTGCAGGCTGAACTGCTGTTGGTTCGACATTGGCAGGCGTTATTCTCCACAAGACATGGGTTGGCTGAGATCGAACCGTTACAGGAACCCTATGGAAGTATTGATCAGCTGTTAAATTCTTGAAACTCAGTTGTTACTATTTTTCAAGCTCGTCACATTTCTTTTCCTCGAGTTTCCTCGAGACTGTAAAAACAAACCTTTCAGTAGCTATAGACTGGCTTGCAATAGCGAAACGATAAACTTGACACAAGAGATTATAAACTGAAAATCTCTTGCTTGACACACTTAGTTGAAAAACTTTTGATCACTGAGCAATTCTCAACGTATTTGGGTTATTTCTGAAAGCTTTCGTTCGTGGTTCAGATAGTTTACAAGGAGACGCGACGGCCGAACCCCGCTGGGTGCGAGACGTGACCACGTCCGTAAAGCGTTTTGCTGTATGGCTGTCTGTGATGAAATCCAATTCAGTCTTTTTGACACTCATAGTCCTTTTTTTGTTTGTTTGTTTGTCCCATCATGCTAGGGAAACCGGGATAAACTCCGGCTGAGTGTTCCACATGGCTTAGAACACACGTAATGGAATAAAAGCTGCCCCTTGGGGGAACGAATTAATAATGAAGTGAAGCTGCCCCTTAGGGGAACGAATTAAGTCGTTTCTTCGATTTGGGGTTTGAACCAATACAACTTTATTATAGCGAACCAGCATTAATGCATCTTCTTCTTCTGTTATTCTTTTGACAACAATATTTATTTTTAAGAACTATCACTCAGAAATTGAAGTTTCCCCCTGAATATTTTTTTTCTCAATTTATCTGAAACACCGTTTTTCTGTGTCTCCAAAAAGATTCCCCGAGCAAAATAAAATTAAACGCATGTACATGTTATGAAAATTTAGCCTTGGGTTATAATGCCTTTAACATAACTGTTATTCCAATTAATTATATATGACTTGTAGGACAAGGCTAATTCAGCTGCGACTTCCATTCTAAAGCGCACCACGATAAAATATTAAATATCTGCTTTTCAACAGAAAATGGGCGTCGTTTTATTAGGAGCGCGTAAGTTCGAGTGCTAAAAAAAATATTGCGAGTCAAAACACCGCAAAGGATGTTTGCTTTCTATCGATTTCTAAATTAAGAGATAATTTTTAAATCAGATGCAGCGCATGCAAACTTTGAAACTGCCAAATGCGCTTTTTCAATCAAGTTTAAAAGGATTATTCGTATTACACCTTTTATGAATAATAACATTTATAATAACCTTGCCAATTTTTTGTTAACAAAAAGGTTTTTGGTCGACTCATTCAAGTAGAAAAATCGTTTGCATTAGTATTGATACTAATACGATACGATACAAGAGCATCGGATAACTTTAACCTTCTAAGTCCTTTTCGCGCCGGTAATCTCCTTAATGAAGGAAGTGATCGACCTAACCGCAAATGGCTGCTCGGTAATATAAACCCGAAATATAAAAACACCGAACGATTTTCTCAACTGATAATGTCAGTTGCCTTATCAATACGTGTATTTTGTTCGCTGAAATTAATTTTACTCGGCATTTGTGTTAACTTTTCTTTTCTTATGAATTGCGACAAAACTTTTTAGTGCACCAATTATAATTGTACATGTCCTATAATCTCGTTCAATTTCCCAGCTTAAGCTTAGCTTAGATAATCCATTTTTACGAGTCCGCAGATCTTAGATGCATTCTGAGTATATCTAGTTACTTGACAACGTTTTGATTACAATTCAGTCGAAACAATCATGATAATGTACTGTGTACCCAAACGTGAAACCTCATCACAATTATTCGATACAAATCGACTCATGAAAGTCAAATTTTTCACGTCACATTTTCCGTTCGTTTGACTCACCACGTATCCCTGTAAATATCTAACTATTTCAAACCGAGAAAAGAGGGACTAAAATTCATTTTCCACGTTCAAATTTGAGTGCACTCGACCCTTAAATGGCAAATTCGTTCGCGCGTAATTAGGTTACATCTGTCTCACCAACACAACAAAGGGGAAGGAGAATTACTTCCACAGCCGCCGTGAACCGTCTGTTTCAAGCAAGAAATAATGTGCTTTTACGTAATTTTCTGTTCACGAATAAAGCTTTTCTGACAAGTTGTTTGTGCGGGCAATAAGACCTTGCGCTTGAAATGACGCTTTTAATTAGTTGTAAAATTTTACGTCGGCTAACGTTCGCAAAAGTAATGATCGGGACATTAAAAAGCACATCAGAAACTGAACACACCGAGCATTTTTCGCTACGTGAAGTAAATACGCAAAACCAAGGGAACTCGGCTTTAACGTGGCAAAGCGTTACATCACATTTGCTAAGGCAAAGCAAATTGTACCCCAAGGTGCTGGAATAAGTCCATGAACATGTTTGTTTGTGAACCGATATGGTTCATGACGCAAAATTATATATGTCAAATTAAAGTCTTTGAATCCTAAAGGGTTCGTTCTGTATTTAAATGGCGTGCGAATAAAATTCTGGACCAGATGAGAGCAAAACATTACATTTTCCATAGTTTTATTCCCCCTTGTTCCCTGAATGTTTGTTTTTTTCGAGAGCTGAATTTCTTTCTTAATTCGTCAGCTTCACAGCCTGATTTACGGATTAAAAAATAATTTTGCTTAAAAATCACAATCGAAAGATAACTATCTATGTGCAGTTCTGAGAAAAGTTTTATGAATACCTGAGGGCAGGAATGAAATATTTCTGAATCCAGCGTCGAACAACCCAAAAACAACATGACCACTACAGCTAAATAAATAAAGAAAAAAATGAATTGACGGGTTAGTTGAAAAGACTAAAACTCAGTCGTTATTTGGTCACTCAAATTCTATGAACTCAATTTTATGTGTGGAAAAAAATAATAATGAAGGAAAAAAGAAGGTTTAAGTTCAGCTTTTACCATTTCGAAGGAGAAAGTGATTATAGCAAGACATTATTCTGCGGGCAGCTGCTAAATGCCTAGTGCTTCGTTCTTCAAATCAGTTGGACGCCATCGGAAAATGCTGTCTCTCTCAATTTCCCTTTTTGCCAGACAGTGTTATCGCAGACTTGAGACCTCAACCAAGCGTACAATAAATGAAGTAATCTGGATTCCTTGAAAACGAAATTAAAATCCCCAAATCTTTGTCAGTTCATTGGTTCGTCGTGAAAGGGACAGCTTTTCATTGGCTACTGACTTTTGTTTTGACTGACGAGGGTGCATCTGAAAGATGCTGTCTACTTCGAAACTTTCTCGTGTCAGTCAATCCCAGCTGAGAAAACACAGTTTAGTTCACTCTCTCTTCTCTCCTATTGCTTGACTACCGACGTGGAACTGCGAAGTAAAACAGGAAAGGAAGGCTGTGAATGTAATCTGAAAATCTCTGACGGTAATTTCATGCTTTCTTTCGATCCCTCACCTTGTCGATAATATTGTCACAGGGCTTTTGTGTAATGCCACTTGTCATTCAGCGCTGTCATTGTTGAGTCTCCACGCTTTAGACAAATGGGTTCGTTATCTAGTTTTATTCATAAGTAAACAGTCAAAATAATGTCTCACCTATTGAATTTTAAAGACGTGACTTGAATTGAAAACAAACTGTTTCGTGATCTTCTCTCATCGAAAATGCCGCCAATATTGCTAGTTTTTTTTATTCTTTTTTCAGTGCAGTGACAAGTGATTCCCTTTCTCAACCACTTTGTATTTGTGTTTTTAAACGAACAAATGCAAAATGATAATTTAAGGGCTACATCCATTGTACATCAGGGGTTTTAGTGTTAATTCTACGTACTGTATCGGAGTAAAACAACGATACACTTCCAATTCCTTAAAGGTGTATAAACTGACGCATTTACACTGACATCTTTTTATCATAATTTGTCGTTGAGTCGTCTGGCATCTAGCTTTCATTTGGACATCTCTCGGGGTTAAAAACGGACGGACAAAATTCTTCGCGGCTGGATCGAATTAGGAACCTTTTCCACGGAAATTCCAAATGTAATTTACGTGTCAGCTCAGAATCTTTATCGTCTCTTGTTATGACACCTTCCAAATTTTGATTAAAAAAAACTTTTCGCGTTCGGAGATTGAAATGTCGCAGTTTGCCCAACGTTCGTTCATAGATGTTATTTTTTTTTAATGTTTCGTACGTTATTCGTCCCCGAATAAGCTCAATGTTTTGTCGATTTTCTCCACACCTTTCGTCATATTTCTTCTCATTATAGGTTAACATAAGAGGAGTCTGTTTTTAGGCACGATTTTCAATCCGTGTTACACAAGACAACTTTTGACGCAAATCTTTTGCAACTAGTACTGGCGACAACATTATATTACAACATATTGCAGGAAAAAAACTTAAATTATTCTGGCTACATCCAACTCTTTGAATCGCCTCCTAAAACTTGTGCTATATAACTTCTGATAAAATGTTAAGTCAAGATGCTCGTTATCTGTTAAACGTCACCGCATGCAAGAATTGACTGCTGTAATATCACCGAGCGGCCACGCACATCTTAAAACTAGTAAAATAAACAAACTGACTCGCTCATGAATCACCATTTTTTTTCCTTTTTCTTGACGTAAGCTCGTTGAATAGTACAGTGAGTTCTTCGAGAATTTGGATAAGAATAATTTTGGGAAATTTTCGTTGACAAAGCCATCTGGCGGTTGTAAGGCAATGGGATAAAAATATGTCTTCAGTAAGTAATGTAGCTTTAAGGCTCAAATACGCCATTCTTATAAATTCGATATACCGACAGGTGCAAGAGCAGTTCTAGGTACATATGTTAAGAGGTGAAAATTGAGTTATTCTAAGAATAGAACTGTTCTATTGGAGCAATTTTTGATTGAGCATCCAGAGTAATCCGGCATCGCATTGGTTTTGCATTTCTTCGCACCGTGATTGGTCCAGAAAACTCGCACCAATCTCTAAACCGATCTGATGCAAAAAGAATACGATTCAAGACTTGGTCGCCCGCGTATTCCCGCGCTTCACGCTGTTTGGTTGTTTTTACTCTGAATTTTTATTGGCCCCTTAAAGGTATTTTCTTTTCCTCAGATTGGCGGTTGAGATTACGCTACCACACTCTGCCAAACATGTTAAGAATCTCCCGGAATTTTCCTAAGAACGTAGCCGAATCCAATTCTGATTGAAGAAAGGGGGTAAGTTTCTAAAGAAACTGTGGTGTTGCGTGGTTGGGAGAGTATAACAGGGTAATTTTAAATCGTGATGATGGCAGTTTACTACCTGACGCCTATTTACACCTCGACAGGAAAAAGGGCAGCTAATTAGTATGCATATAAAAGGACCTCCTGTTGCAGCGATTAGATCACCCTTGATGGAAGCACTAGACGGGATTGTCGAAACGTTGGGTCTATGAAATTTAATTTTTCTCGATAAAGTTCCATTCTTCCAAATTCTACCAAATCATGTGCTCTGCAAAGTTTTCCTTGATAAGTGTTCACGAGAGATTACAATCTCTTGGTGTTCATGTTCAAAATCTGGAACGCCAGTTATTTGTCGAGATAAAAACCTCGCAATACACCGCAAGGAATACTTGCGGACGGGAAAGCTTGTTTCTGCAAAAGGCATTTTTTTAAGTAATCGGTGAGCGAAGTCGATAAATTACGATCTGATAGAACTTGAGATATACGAAAGCGTCAATCGCTAAAAATTAAAGGATCATATATGGCAAACATTTTCGTAGCTTTAACTCATGTTCTGCCTCCAAAGTACAAATGCCCAAATTCAAAACGGAAGACACTATTCAGCTGACTGGACGATAATCTCTTGGGTCTAGGAAAGCAGTCTATTTTACGTGAAACTCTCATATTGATATCTAAATTGCCGTGTGAAATACAGGCCAAAAGCGATTGAAAAGCATGTGAAATTTGTCACCCCTTTCAAAGAATGTTCTCACTTGCTATTCACTTGAAACCTTCAACAAACGCATGCGCTTTAAAGCTTTGACAGCGATTCGCGACTTCACACGAGACAGCCCCGTATTTTAACTAGAGTCTGTAGCGTGGCGCCTCAGTGAAAAATGTGTGACTAGAAGAAAAGGCCGGAACCACTTATGGCTGATAAAAATAGAAACCCGGATGGCTTCCGAAACTTGATGAAGACGCGTAAAATGAATCTGGTGTCAAATAGGGCTTCAACATGACGTTGAAAACTTTCTTTTGTAACTCCTTTGTCTCGTTAACAACACAGATTTAAGCGTCGATCAATTTGAAGCTTCCACAGTCCTTCCCCCTGGCAACTCCACGGGCATCTGTACCACCGGGGGTGGGGAATTTGAGCCTCATTTGGGTGAGGTGGCGAATTTGAACAGCCGAATATTCTGGTTTTAATTTTAATAATGGTGGAGTTTCAAGGTAAAGAATCCGCTTTCGTGAGCAAATGGCTTAGAGGAAATTTTGAAATCGTCGAATGATGCTTACAAACGAAAAAACCAAGCAGCGGCATTACAGAATAATACGTGACTTTTCCTAAATTCTACAACGTTCGTTGATCACAAGAAGGATCGTGCAATAAAAAATTGTGCTGGAACAGGACATTTAAATACAGCTTTGAACAAGCCAATCTTCAAAGGTTCAAATGTCCGCGGGGCTGTCCATGGGGGAAAATTGAAGCTTTGAACTGATCGACGCAGAAGCAAGCAGAGTTTCACTGCAGACTGACCAATCAAGATCAAGAAAGCGTATCAAAACCAACATCAGACGGATAAAAAACATTTAATGTCTTTGACATAACGTAGCCATTTTTTTTTAATCTAATCTATGTAATTTTTTAGAGATTTTTGTTTCTCTTGACATTCTAGGTACTTATTTGTAACAAAAAAAAAGTAGTTTTAATGTCAACATCTCTTAAAAATATTTCTAAAATTGCAATATATGTTTTCGATTTTTTTAATCTGTTTGTAGTGAGTGTTCAACAATTAATTGTTTGTAACACCATTATTAATTAATTATTAATTAATTTTTTCCTCGTACAAGTAGAGCGCCTTTCAATTAAGTGTCGTGTTTTTTACTTAGGTAAAAAAATACAAGGAGCCAATGAGAACTCAAAGTAAGAATAGCCAAACGGCTTGAAGCGCGGGAAAACGCGTGTGACCAAGTCGTGATTGGTTTCGGGTTTGCATTCGACTGATTGGTGGAGAAAATGGCATGGGTCTTCTTGATCAATCACAGAACAACAAAGAGTAAAACGAATGAAATTCCGGATTTCATTTATGCCAATGATCTCATTAGCCCTTGCCTGAGGCCCAACTCTGGGGAGAATCTTCTCCACTGTCGATTTACGTAACTTATCCGCAACAATGTTGTGAAATTAACAGGGGCAGACAAAGTAGCCTGAGGGAGTCTTTGAGAAATCCACTTTGATACAACTTGCATGGAAAAGCTGTTTACAACTGCCGCATCTCCGCCAGTCTTCTCCATCGCTGTCTCGACACACTTTGCAGACGTTGATATTTCTCCTACAGCGGACGGAACATATATTTCATGATCATTTATTTAATTATCTCTTCTTTTTTATTGGCTCAGGTTTGACTCTAACTCTATATCAAGATCAAACCTGATGCTTAGCAAGATTAAGGGATATACAGTTTGGAAACAAGCTGCGACTGAGGTTACTTACTCGAGGATGTCATCGTAACAACAGCCAAATATCATAGACGTTATTCGTGCACGTTCGGTTGCTACGTCGAAATTTGCATCTACAGAAGAGCCTTCACACAAACACCTTGCAAACTGAAAGAAACGATCAAAAATGACAATCAATCATTAGGAAAAATTCGTGAAGAATATGCAATATTCCCATAAATTCATTTTAAGGCAGAAACTATCGGTTGTTGAGGTATATTTAATCATATGTACTTCTTCCAGCGGCTAGCCTATCGAACGGTATTGCTCGTTATCTTGTGAGGGTAAAGATTTCGTACCTTGATACCTCATAATGTAATGAGGATAGTGACTTCTGTAATAAACTTAAAACAAATGTCGCGAGTGGGTGCATAGCGAGTTGGCTACTTACGAGACAAATGAGAATTCCGCAGTTGTACCCATCTTTCTGTTTAAAGTGCACTGGCTCGATGCAAGGCCATGATAGAGAACGCCAGCCCGTTCTGGTGTCAGTGAACCCACTACAAATATGATGACAGGCAAATAAAGGGTTACTTTAAACTGACTGCTGTTTTAAATTGAAGGAGCGGAATTTTTTCACTTACGACTTTATAATTATACACCTGTTCTAAGTACTGAAAGTAGACATTGCATGCCTATCATATTCGCCCTTCTGTAGGCAGAACAAGGCAATTCAATAAAGACATGTCAACAGTACTTGGTCTTACCTTATCTTATTTATGAGTGATGCGAGAGGAGGATCTTTTGAAGGATCAATTTCTCGTTGGGAATCTCCCGCCAAAGGGTCAAAGTAGTATCTGGCCGCTTTTGATTTGTCCAAGACCTTTAAAACAAGAAGTCAGGGTTCTTGGTTTCACCTCAAATTAATCATATACTCAGTTTCATCGATTGCATTTGCTATAAATAAATATAAATATAACCAAATCAAACCAATTCTATTAAGTTAAAAAGAAAACCTACCAACAGAGTCCAGTGAATTCTACGTGCCACGATCGGAACAAATATCCTGGTAATATTTGAGAAGCTTTCTCTTGACCACAGCGAACTCGTACTAAGACCTTCAACAATTTCAACAATTTCAGCCAAAGTGCTGTCTGCTCAAAACAGGCCGTCATACTGTAGGGTGAATTTCCATAGCACAGCTTCCACAACCTGGTGTAATGGAAGATATATAAACATGAGACAAAGTCCAATAAGGCGATCGTTCTTGATTGTAGGTTATACATAATATTTTAAAACGCAGATTGCTTTATGAACATGCTACCTTGTCTACGAGCCAACCCCCGACAAAGTCCCTTATAGAGCTCGTCACCAAGTAGCATTGCGCGGCCTCATGCGGAGGAAGAAGTGTCCATAGGTCACCAACGGTTAGTCTTGAAGGTCCGATCTCAAGCATGACGTCGTCTATCCCTAGGTTAACTCTCCAGGCATTAAGGAGACGCGTGACATGGTCACATTTGCGTGGTTTCTGTACAGCAACTTCGGTGCCAAGGAACTCTACTTTCCAGTTCTGGCTCGACAATTCATCTTCTTTCTTTTCCCTCTTCTGAAATGTAACAGTTGTACAATTGCAATCGAAAGCCTGGAGGGATGTGGGATTTATGTTCACAATCCACCTCTGCTGACACAGAGTAAAACATTTTTATCTGTAAAAAAATACTCCCGGCTGGAGTCCACTAGTGGGGGGGAAATATTAACCCGCCACCCTATTGCAAGTTAAAAGATTGTTTTATTTATTCTTTGGTTAAGCCAGTACGTTACTATTTGTAGCGTTCATAAAGGTAAGGACTTCCTCATCCAAAATGATTGTCTGAAATTTCAAGTTCAAAATCTTATGGTTTTGATAGGTAAATCGAATGAAGCATCATTGCAAAAACTAACTACAAAAATAATTAGTTAACATACGATTGGTATCCATGGTAAATGGACATGTTCTTCTGGGAACTTCTTTCTCCTTCCCATTCCTTTCTGCAGAAAAGTAAATCATAAGTTATTGTGGCAAAATAAAGTTTTTTTTTCAACTTACAAGTGGCTTTAGCATGCCGTGGCAAAAAAACCATGGTTGATGATCAAGTACTAGCAGAGAGGATTGCCTAAACCTCGAGCCTTTATCTATTTCAGTGACCTCTTGTGCTGACAGCCAGCTTTCTTTTTTACTTCCACCAATAGACTCCTCTCCTTTTGTCTCTCTCCATTCATATTTTTGTTTTAAATGTAGACGGATAGTAATGATCTCCATGTTCAACCAAAATCAGGAGGTTTTTACGCAATGGGAATTCAAGGAACAGGATGTCTTCCCACAAGAAACCCTTCAGGAGTCATTTATGTTGACATGTAATTTGCTATTCACACTTTGGTAGGTCAAAGAATTCAGTTCATACATTTCTGTAAATAACTTGTGTGCATTTCAATGTTTTTCTTTTCTTGAAAACCCTAATTAAAACAATAATGCTTAGTTTGACAAGAAAAAATAGAGTGGAAAAAAATTGGCCCTTGACAGTCTACTATAGAAACCCTTAAGATAAAGGCTACTTACATTTACAATCATCACTGATGTTCAAAGATCACAGACCACCTTTAAATTATGGTTGATAACTATTTAACAAAGACTAACAGAAGCACTACAAAAATACCCCTGATTCTTCAAACAATTTGTTCTCAGGTCTTTGGTTATATCATTTTCCTCCATGAGCTCCAAATATTTCATGGTGTATACATCAATGAAGTTTTTATTGACCATTTAAACATAACAGTTATGTACCTGCACAGCTGAATCTTTGCAGGAGTTTGTCTCTAATGGAGTTCTTAGCCCTGTATTCTCTGTTGCCATAACATCTTCCTGGTTCCCTGTGGTTCCAGGACCTTCAGGAGTACTCTCTGGGGAAACTGGTAACATGTCTACAATGACAACTATATTGTTAAGTAATAGAAACAGAATTTTTTTCTTTGTCCCATGCTAGTGACAAGTCAAAAAACATCCTTCTCTAGAAACTATTGTTGGTTTTGTTTTCCTGGGCCTCAAGGTTTCCCAAGACAAAAAAAACGAGCATATATAACAGTGGTACTTTTTCTCTTGTAATTATAAACACTTCCAATGTACCATCTTAAAGTATGTGTATTTCATTTCACCATCAAAAAGTCTGAGCATTTTTTAATATGTCCATGTGTAGTTACTTACCCACATCCATGTCCCCGTCACCTGTCCTTCTTGCCATCTCTGGGTTAACTTTCTTTAATTCTGCAATTGTTCTATTGATCCTCATGATTTCCCCTGTGAGTCTTAGGTTCAGCTCTGATAATTCTTCATCTCTCTTGAGTAATTCCCTCTCCTTCTCCTGAAATGTAACAGTTATACAGTTTCAGTCCAAAGCCTGGAGGGATTTGGGAAGTACTGTTTGTCAGCAATCCACCTCCCCTGACACAGAGTAAAACACTTAACTGTAAAAAAAATTACTCCCAGCTAGAGTTCACTAGTGCAGGGAAATATGTAACCATATTGATAGTTGGTTTTATTTTCGGAGATTGTAACAGTGGTGATTAGAGTGTCTGTAGTCATATTTGTGATTGACAAACCAGACTCCTGATTTGCGGTCATCCAACTTTTTTATCACTGGTATGACTACAGACCAAATTGAACTCCACTCCCTCCTATTACTATAATTAATCTTTCAAGATGTTAAGATGGATTAATCGGGGGAAACAATTTTTGCAAAAACCAGCAAAAAAAATTAACATACCTTGCATTTATAATCTTGACAGTCCACTTCCTGCTGCAACCTAATGATCACTTTTCTTGCCTTCCACAGAAAAGTACATAATGTTTTAATAAAAAAAACCCAAATTAGTTATTATAGCAAAATAAACATCCTCTTAGAAACTCTTTTCAATAGCCAATTTACATTATTAACTCAGTTAATATAGACATGAATTTATCTTGTAATATTATTTGAGATACATACTTCTATAATCTCCTGCTGCTCCTTGAGCAAGGCTTTCAGGGCTTCATTTTCTCTCAAAATCTAACAAGCATAATAAATACATAAATAAAGATCTAAGAAAATCATCAATAATCAGTACATCTGCTCAATTAATGACAGATAAGTTCATTAGTGCTTAAATAATGATCAATATATAAATAAAATAGGCAGCGCTTTCAATTACATGCAGCACCCACCAGAGCTGCCACATCCAAGTCAAATTAAACAAGTTTTTTACAATGCAAAACACCACCTGTCCAAACATCTTGTGATGTTTGTACTTGTTTTGTGCATTATTTGTACTATACTTGGAGCAGTTATATACTAAACAAGATATTTACATACTTGCTGTTCTGTTCCTACAGCCACTCTGTTCCCTCGCCCTATCACCATGACACCTTTGGAAGACGTTTCTAAGTCGACAGACACAGGTGCTTGGTCTACAATGAAAACTTTTGTTAAAACAAAAAACAACACAGTCGGACTCAATACATGCAAAAGTATTCCTTTAATCAGATACAGCATACACTGACACCTTGAACACCAATGATTAAGAAATCTGAAATTAATACAACTGTCATCCTTTTACTTGATCTGGGTGCTGTAGGTGCTGGGGCAGCGTCTGCGACGGTAGGCGCCAGGTTGCAGTGGGCCAGGTTGTGATTAGAGAGAAGGGCAATTGCCAGTGCTTCGGAGACATCGTCTGTTGTGAATGTGCAGTCGGGCACAGAGCATTCGACGACTACCATGACGAAGAGATCAACTGTTTCATGAAGCGAACTCCTCGGTTGATTATGCTTTAATTACAACGATGAAACAGTTCTACAGGGTGAAACACAGTATAAATACGCTGAATGACAATAACAATAAAGCTAAACGCAATAAAGAATAACGAACTTACGATAATAAGTACAATCAGATTAATCCGTCCATACCAAACGAGTCCAAGTGTTTTTTAAAACAATATGGCCGACTCTCCACTCGTCACCAGTCCTGCCGAGCCGTCGGTATATGGCCAGCGGTTGGCCAGCGGTAGTCCCTTCATCCCCCCCAGTCCACCCGTTCCTCACGTTGTAACCCAGTAACTACTGGACTTGTAATGACGTTGTAACCAGTCAATTAAGGCATTGTAATCGGGATAGACCTATTGACAAATCTAGACCTGGGGGAGGGGTGAATGAGTAACTAAATTGCCCATAAGAGACGCCATATTGGATTTTGATGGGAATGTTTTTTGGGCCGGGTAAGAGGAAAGGATTTTCCTCCTTTAAAGTGGTAGACAGATCAAATAAAACCCGGAAATCCACCGTCCAACTTCCTTCTACTCTGCCTCTGGAAAAGAGCAACATCGTAGTGTGGAAGATGTGGAACAAGGTGAAGAAGAGGAAGATCCGTGCGCTTTGTGTGATGGTGACCCGCCAGATTCCGACGATGATGTGGTGCCCACTTCCTCCACCAGCTCCTACAAAATGCGCAAGGAAAGGCTCCACAAAAACTGGGAATCCTTGCGATCCACATTGCTGAAGTTCTCTGTTGAAATGGAAGGTTTCGTGCCCCATCAATGTAATTGTGGTAAAACGGTGGAAAGTCGATGCAGGGATTGTAGCTTTACGGCATATTTCTGCCTTGATTGCTGTAATCACCTGCATCAGACCAAACATCATTTTCATCACCCAGAAATAATACAGGTATGCATGACCTTTATAATAATTATAAATTGATAATTATAATCAATTTTTTTTTTTGCCCAGAAGAGTAACCCGGGTTTAAGAAATTTATTAAGCTTGTTTTTTTTTTTATACTGAATTTTTCAGGACGGTGTTTGGAAATTGCACACTGTTCCTGACAGGACATTGAGTAATCCCTATCATTCTTGCTCATTTTCCTACACAAGGGAAATAACGGTTATAGATGAAAGAGGTAAAGCTATCCCTAAAGACCAAACCATGATTGTTGTTCATGTTAATGTAGTCCTGGTATTCACTTTTTGCAGTTATTTAATATATTGTAAACATTTATATTGTTTTGGTGAGCTTAATTCTAAGGTTATTAAAATATCGGTATAAAGTCAGCAATGTTCTTCTTTGTTGAATATTTTTTTCTGAAGGTGGTCAGCATCTATTGAAGATTCTCTGTTGCACTTGTTTTAGTGTGGCAGAGAGTTTTCTGTTTCAAGGTTTGTGGCCTGCTACGCCAGTGGAACCAACCTTGGCATTCACCACAAGTCTGATGGAATTTACCCTGGCACTTGTGATGGAATGCCAAGTTTCCATTTTTGATCTTGTGAAGGCCTTAGACTTCTACTCCCACCCTCTCATAAAGGTTCGTTATAGGTTTAGCTGTAAATGACTCCATCGTGTGATAGTTATCAGGGTCGGCCAGGGTTTTTGGGTATATGGTATTAAGGGGCTTTTTTAATTCGGGTATACGGTATATTTCAGCTGAAAGATGGGTATACTACTAATTTCGGGTATATAGTAGACTATATAACGCTTTGATTAATTTTAGGTATATTGGGAGAAATCTTGGGTGTTTTGGGGTATTTTGGCGGATCTTTTTCAGGTATACTGGTATACCACTATCCCCCGCTGGCCGACCCTGAATTATTGAGGGCAAAACCAAATAAACCATCACACAAATAATATAGAAATCATGAGATCATAATATATTATTGCTTTAGTATAAATCTTCATGACCTAGCCAAAACTTTATCATGATCTCCTTCATAGATAATGAAACTAAACAAATGAAAATACAGTTGAAGCTCTCATACATGTACACCCTCGGGACACGTTAAAAGTGTCTGTAACTGGAGCTGGCCACCTTACAAGAACTGTTCTCATAAGCGGCCACCACCAGAGGTGTAGCCTAGATGTCCGCTTATGAGAACTTTCCCAGCTAACAAATATTTGGAAGACAAAAAATACCACCAAATGAAATATTGCAAACTACACAATGTTATGATAATGGTGAGTGTACAGTACTGTATACTGCAGAATAGAATCCAGTTCCTTCTGCAAGTTCTAAACTTCCAGACTCAAACTGATTACTACTCACTATCTATCACAGAATAGATAGTAGGTAGGGCAGCCAATCAGAGAATAGCATTCGTGATAGATTTACAATAGAACAGATGTAGCAAATTGTTATATTTGTTATTTATTGTTTTAATTGCAGAAAAGGAAGATATATGACCAATTTATTGACAGCTTTGAGGAATTCAGGTGGCTTAACAATTAATGTTTGTGAATTTAGAACTTCCAGCAAACAGTTATCTTGCAACATCCCAGTTTTATGTGTATAAGACCTTTAGAAGTGTTTTAATGAGTAACTTAGATTGTAGTTAAATGTTTTGGATCAACTTTATCCTTAGTTTAAATTTTATTATCCTTTGTTTCTATGTATGGTAATTTATGGTGATATATGCAGATAACCAGTTTAAAACAAAGAGAACTGAATGAAGTGTTATAAATTTGACACAAAGCATCAACTGATACCTCGGTAGATGGTAATGAAGACCATAGAAATTTGGTCAAGTTAAAAGTTAGAAATACCTTGTGGTCAACACAGTTTAGGTTGTAAAACCATGCAAAGTCTCTTGAGGTGAGCTCCTGTATTCAGTGCATTTGGTGACACCCGGTGTTCTTCATTTTTTTTTTTTTTTAGAATCCAATTCCTTCTGCAAGTTCTAAACTTCCAGACTCAAACTGATTTGTAGAGTTTTTATTTAAGTGGTTATGTTAAAAAATTATTATTTAATACAAAGATAATTCTTGTTACTTTGTTTTGTGAAAAGGAATAAAAACAACCAATATCCCTTTTGATTGAGTTTTACATATAATTAAAAGTATTTTCCAGAAAATATAAGACTACAAGTGAAAGAAGAAATTACTCAAATATCTGATTTAATTCTTAGGCCACGATAGTGCAACAAATAATTATCTATTGTCATTAATGCTGGTTCAAAAAATACCATATGGTTTGGTAATTTGAACTCGATAGATGCTTTTATTAGTTTAAAATGCTTATTAGTGTAAACACTGTGCACATTAAAGGTATGTCTCTTTACAACAGGTATCATGTAAAGGCTCTCCAGTGTTTTACTGAAAATGAGGTTTGCCCACTCAGGCATCCAGTTTGTCCTGCTTGTCCCAAGGTAAAACTTTGAAAACCTCTGCTGCCATTTTCAAAGAACTAAATTCAGATTAATTAAAGTAGTTTTCAATATAGAGATTAAATGTTATGTTGTGGTGCATTTTTAGTTCTCAGCACCTCAGACGCAGCCTGACACTTCCACTGGTGCCAGTGAAGGTGTGTTTTATTCATGTGTATGGCTAAAACTCTCACACACCCACACACACACACACTCACACACAAAATATAGTTCATCGGTGATAGACAGAACTACAACACAATAACGATTTGATTTTAAAAAACGCCGTACTTATCACTGCTCGTGTGTTCCTGTGTGTTTGTTTTTAATTATATATTTATATTTTTGAACTTGATTTTTCCGGCTTTTAATCTGACTGGACAATCATAGTGACACCAATAGGAAACTGCTGTCTTTTAGTCACTATACTTAGCATTTTATTTGAGCAATTCAGTCAATTCAATTTATACTTCTTTGTCTGGTTTAGGTAATGAAGTTGAGCTGTTTGACAACTCCAACAAACTCGTTTGTCGGGGTGTTGTAACTGCTCAAGCCATGGTACACGGCCGGGCACTGAAAACCGGATGGGCCGCAGTGATGATACAGGATATCTTGTCAAAGGGAAAAGTGGAGCCATGGCAAGAATATCCCACCCATTCTGGGGAAGTAGAAGAAGGGAGTTTTGTCGCCTGGCCGACTGCTTACATCCAACCGCGACGAGAAGCTCTGCAAACTGCCCGGCCGAAACAAAACCTTTCGGAGACGCAGGGTTTAAAGGATGCCCTTCATCCCGACAAGTTTGTCTCTCCCGGGACAATAATGTCCAGGGATAGATAGCTACGAAGTAGAAAGTGAAAACATTATGATTCCACTATTGCGCCATTTTACCATATTTGGACATGAGAACGCGCAAATCATGAGCCTGTAATGCCCCGGTTTGACTGTTTTAGAACAGAGCAAATACGGACGGAAAGCGTAGAGCAACAAAATGGTTGGACAAAAGGGAGCAAAATTGACTTGTTTACGTCCTTTACGCTTGACTCTTAAGCGACGACCTTTCGACGGGAACGCATTTTTTTAACTCAATAGAAGGAAACTTGCGAGGACATTTAATTCTTTTTGTTTGTGTTGTTTTCGTCATTCGCGCACGCTTCATAAGATCGATAAGATTCTCAGGCGATGGAGGTTGTATTTCAAAAACTAGGTGCCAAAATGCTAGAAAATGGCGCAATAATGAAATAATAAATCCCTTATTGGATGGTTTAACATGTAATACGTCCGGACATTTAGCTCGTTTTGCTACGCAACTCGCAAAATACCCGCGCGTATTATATGTTAAACCATCAAGAAGGTGTATGTAACGGTTCACTGTAAAGTTAAGCAACCACACAGAGGACGACAACGAAAATGCAATGTGGGAGGCTAACCTTTCCTTCTGGAAATTTCATTGAGACTCTTGAAACTATTTACATTCATAGAATGGTGCTGACAAAGACATAAAGCTTTATTTGAGGTTATTCGTGTTGTTTCTTTGTACAGTTTAGCAGATTGCAAAACACATGTGCAGGTCTTTGCCCTGCAGTGTTCTTCCTCCCTCTTCTCTTAAGCGATGTTCTCGTTGCCAACGCTGTTGTGGTTGCGTAAATTCCCTATTGTAAAAAAAAAAAATGCAGTTTGCATGGAATGAGATAACCAAAGTTGTAATTCATAAGTCTGTTTATCGTTTCCTTTTCTCATGATTCTGTGTTCTCTTAGTCGATACTAATCTGTTACATCTTGCTGACTTATATTCTATTTTAAATACAAAATCATGATTAGGATAGGAACGAAGGATCCTCCACTGTCACTTGCTACTACACACTCTAATAAATCACTGTACATATCAATAAATAGGATAGCCGAGATATATTAAAATGAACTTATTGATGCGTTTTAGCGTATGATGTACATAAGACAATGTATGTTCCAATGCTACGTCTTCAGAAGATACTTAACAGTACGACCAGTGTTTTCGACTCTCCCTGGATGCTAGTCCATTTCAGGGTCACCCCCCCTCCCCTCCCCAGCAGTTAATACACCGGTTCCCATGTATCATCACCCGACTGAAGAGAGGCATAGTAAAGGTTAAGTGTCTTGCCCAAGAACATAACGCAGTGCCCTTACAAGAGCTATTTTTGGGCCCAGTGCATACTAACCCGGCATAAGGTATATTTTTTGGTCCAGCGCATACCGTGACAATTTGTCCACCACACCCCCATGCGTCTCTATACAATAGTGACAGGGTTCGCACTCACCTTGAAAGTCCTTGAAAATCCTTGAATGTCAAAATAAAAATTCACGGCCTTAAAAGTCCTTGAAAATTGCAGACAGTGCTGGAAAGCCCTTGAATTCACTAAATTCACCCCATTTTTCAGTCTGTTTTTGTGTCTACCCCATTTTTCAGCCTCTTTTTGAAATAGAGTAAAATCGGGGCGAAGGGTTGATATGCCGGGTATACGATATAGCGCTTAGTGTGTTAAATTCACAAAATTCACCCCATTTTTTAGTTTCTTTTTGAAATACAGTAAAATCGGGGTGAATAGTTGGTTAGCCAGGTATAGGACATAGCGCTTAGTATGTTAAATTTACAAAATTCACCCCATTTTTTAGTTTCTTTCTGAAATACAGTAAAAGCGGGGTGAAGAGTTGATATTCCGGGTATAGGATATAGCGCTTAGTATGTTAAGCGCTTTCTCCTATACCCGGCATTTCAACTCTTCACCCCGATTTTACTGTATTTGAAAGGGAAACTAAGAAATGGGGTGAATTTTGTAAATTTAACATATTAAGCGCTTTGTCCTATACCCGGCATATCAACTCTTCACCCCGATTTTACCGTATTTCAAAGAGAAACTAAAAAATGGGGTGAATTTTGTGAATTTAACATACTAAGCGCTATATCCTATACCCAGAATATCAACTCTTCACCCCGCTTTTACTGTATTTCAAAGGAGAAACTAAAAAATGGGGTGAATTTTGTGAATTTAACATACTAAGCGCTATATCCTATACCCGGAATATCAACTCTTCACCCCGCTTTTACTGTATTTCAAAGGAGAAACTAAAAAATGGGGTGAATTTTGTGAATTTAACATACTAAGCGCTATGTCCTATACCCGGAATATCAACTCTTCACCCCGATTTTACTGTATTTCAAAGAGAAACTAAAAAATGGGGTGAATTTTGTGAATTTAACATACTAAGCGCTATGTCCTATACCCGGAATATCAACTCTTCACCCCGATTTTACTGTATTTCAAAGAGAAACTAAAAAATGGGGTGAATTTTGTAAATTTAACATATTAAGCGCTTTGTCCTATACCCGGCATATCAACTCTTCATCCCGATTTTACTGTATTTCAAAGAGAAACTAAAAAATGAGGTGAATTTTGTGAATTTAACATACTAAGCGCTATATCCTATACCCGGAATATCAACTCTTCACCCCGCTTTTACTGTATTTCAAAGGAGAAACTAAAAAATGGGGTGAATTTTGTGAATTTAACATACTAAGCGCTATGTCCTATACCCGGAATATCAACTCTTCACCCCCTTTTACTGTATTTCAAAGAGAAACTAAAAATGGGGTGAATTTTGTGAATTTAACATACTAAGCGCTATGTCCTATACCCGGAATATCAACTCTTCACCCCGCTTTTACTGTATTTCAAAGATAAACTAAAAAATGGGGTGAATTTTGTGAATTTAACATACTAAGCGCTTTGTCCTATACCTGGCTAACAAACTATTCGCCTTGATTTTACTGTATTTCAAAAAGAAACGAAAAAATGGGGTGAATTTTGTGAATTAAACATACTAAGCGCTATGTCCTATACCCGGCATATCAGCTCTTCACCCCGATTTTACTGTATTTCAAAAAGAAACTAAAAAATGGGGTGAATTTTGTAAATTTAACATACTAAGCGCTTTGTCCTATACCCGGCATACCAGCTCTTCACCCCGATTTTACTGTATTTCAAAGGGAAACTAAAAAATGGGGTGAATTTTGTGAATTTAATATGTTAAATTTACAAAATTCACCCCATTTCTTAGTTTCCCTCTGAAATACAGTAAAATCGGGGTGAAGAGCTGATATGCCGGGTATAGGATATAGCGCCTATTATGTTAAATTTACAAAATTCACCCCGTTTTTCAGTCCCTTGAGGAAACTTGGTTTGAGAAATCGAGAAGTTCGAGAAATTGGCCATTTCAAAGACGAGCGGGTACGAACATATTTTTTCTTGGTACCAACCTTCAGTATCGATTTGATTGAAAACGAGGCATGTCATCGGGAAGAGCATCCAAAAATTAGTAAATTTACCAAATTTGATGGTTATTGGTTTAAACACAAAGGCATGGTACACTTTTAAAATAAGAGGGCTTAGTATGGATTGGAGGACGCCTGTCCCTCCAATCCATACTAAGTGTACCATGCCTTTGGGTGTAAACCAATAACCGTCAAATTTGGTGAATTTACTAATTTTTGGATGGTCTTTCAGATGACGTGCCCCATTTTTCAATTCAATCGATATTGAATGTTTGTACCGAAGAGAAAATATGCTCGTGCCCAGTCCTCTGCTCTTTTTTGAAATGGCCAATTGAGGGTAAAATTGCAGTCTTTAAGTAAGGAAAGTAAGTAAGTAAGGCCATTCCAGGCGACAGAACTTTTAATGCATTTCTTTATAAATAGCAGCGAACCGTTGACACGAGAAAACGCGAAGTTGTCTCGGGGGCAGGGGTGACCCTGGGTGGAGGGTCACTCGCGTTGAAGGAAGCGTAACCCTGGGGGCGAGCCAACTCTTTTTCCTTTAAACTCTTTGTCTCGCCTTCCTGAGACAACTTCTCGCGTGCCGAGTTTAACATAATTGCTAGAATATAGGTTTTCAAGGGCAAATTTATATTGTTAACATAAAATTTAACTCAGCAAAGGTAACAGTAGCGGAGTAAACGAAAGGAACTTAAAGGAAGGAGAAATGAGGATTTGAATATTTAAACGAGCTCTAAGTAATTATGCAAGATCGACTTTGACTCGGTCAGTAAGAACAACTCTTTTCATATAAACGCTCTGTAAAGATGGTTTGGTATGGAGGGTAACCCTCCTACCAGGGAAAACTCTCCTTCATATAAACAGGGCCTAACGCTGCTTGCAGTGTCTTATTCACAAATATTAGCTAAAAAATTCTCACTCTTTGACTCGTTATCCGAAAAACGTTGTTAATATTTGTCACACGATTGATTACAGTCATTTTGCTGCACATTGGACTTCAAAGAAAGACATTATATCCCCATACGAGTGCATTGTTAAGCTAAGCAAGCAGGAATTAAGTCAGCTTGGGAACATGACAAAAATGCATGGAGTGTTCTTAAAAATTCCCAAGTACTTATACAACACAACAATACAGGAGGACAAGTTTTTATTTCTTTTATATAATGTTAAAGAAATTGTGCGCGCTACAACTTGTGACCAATCATAGAGTACGCAATTTGTCGATGATTTTACGTTGGTACTAAATTATAGTTGCACTGCGTTGTTAGGTATTACTTTCTCAAGCATCATATTTCCCACGATTTCAAGTCGAATTCTGTAAATGTTATCAGTGAACCAAGACAAAAACAGTACATAGGAACATTTGTTTAATGCTCCAGAAATGAGAATGTTGTCTAGCCTTAGATCATATACAGACTTGTCAAAACTACGGTACTTATTACAAATAGTCAGTAATCCTTGTCCGAATACTTAATATAAATAGTCACACTTCAACATCACTATCATTGTCATCATCTTCATCACTTTCAAACTCTTCGCCTGCATTCCAGAAATCGAGTACATTGACTTCCTGGACATTGTCAACCATGTAATTACTAACTTCTGGAGAAGGTGTGATAAACTTTTTATACATATTACAAGCACCAAAAAGTCGCACACGCTCATCGTACAGTTGCTTTGTATGGATGGAATAAAGACCTTTGAGATTGTTAGAATCTTTAAATTCATGGTGACTTGCCAACGAAGAGAGTCGACCTTCAATTTCAAGACATTGGTTGAAATATGCAGTGATAGTGTTAGACATTTCAGCGTCTTGATATTTCATCTCCTCCCAACATCGCGAAATCAAGTTCTGCGCATCAACTGCTGACCTTTTAATGCACACAGGAACACCGTCTTCGTTTGACTGCTGACGTCACTAACATCTTCCCATGAAAGAGGGGAAAATGAAGAGTAATCATGTTGCCGGAGGATGTCTACAGAAGAGTTAAATACTTTTAACTGCTTGCGCAGATTGGTATTCTCTTTGGTGACGCCCTTACACAAACGTTTCGCCTGGGCTTGGCCATCTATAACAGAAACAGTTATATAAAAAAGTTAAGTTATTAATTGATATGTGGGTTGAGTCCGTTCTTGGTTGTCGTCTTTGCTCTAAGGGGTCGCCAGTTTTTCCTGACCCTCAGCTGACACTAACCCTCCATATTCCAATTCAATCTCATGCACGTAAACTTAAAAACGAGCTTTCTTGCTACATGGGTAAACAAAGTCAATTAACATTTTTAAGTTTTACAAAGAAAAGTACACGTCAAGAGCGCGTAGTTCGATCTTTTTATACCTGTGTATTTCTTTTTTAGGGAAAGAAGAAACCATCTTCTTCTACCGGAAACCAGAATTAGATCCAGGGTCTGTTTTGCTCTTACAGCCTCACAAGTCACCAAACTGGACCTGTATTGTGGATCTGACGGAGACCAACGAGTTTGAATTTTGAACTGTTTTTCCATCTTCAGAAGACGTTCATGCAGACTGACGAGAGAACAACAAAATACACAACTTATTAAATACAGATGCATAGTATATTTTAGAAAATAGACTAGCATACAAATCCAGTTATTTAAAACAGTCAACAACATCAACGGATAAATTATGAAAAAGTGTATACCACGCGACCTTGCGACGAGGAGGAGGTAGCTTTTATAACCACAGGGTTCATAAAGGAGCTCAAGTTGCGAAAGGACGGAAGGGAATTGCCAGCAAAATTCTTAAAATACATAAGGTATAGAAGGAAGCATATATAATGGATTGGATTGCAATGAGATGACTGTAACCCACAAACCATTGAATTGTACTGAGATGATCCACAAATTATTGGATTGTAATAAAATGATTGTAATCCACAAATTATTGAATTGTAATGAGATGATTGTAATCCAAAAATTATTTACGTAATAACCATGTGCACCATGCGCAATGGCTTTACTGTAAAATTCCAGACTGAGGGATGAAATGTTTGCTTTATGGACTGAGCCTCTGGGTACGGTCCATAAAGCAAAAATTCAGCCCGAAGTCTGTTAAGTTATTTATTATATGCCTTCACATAGGCAAAGCAAGCGGAATAGAGAGAACATCTACATTGCCTATCATTTACGTCACAATTTCATCAGGGTAATAAACTTATGAAGAAAATCTTCTTCAGAACTCATATTTAAAGAAGAGATACATGTTTTGTTCAATGTTCAATCTTGTCTTTTTTCAGGGAAAGTCACTAAGTTCACTAGGTTTTGTGGGGAAAAATCTGTAATGCCCATAAGCAATTACCGGGGATTCTGGACCCTAATTAACCAATCAGAGTGCACGTACTATCGCAGCCATATAATAATGGATTGTAATGAGATGATTGTAACCCACAAATTATTGCATTGTAAGGAAATAATTGTAATCCACAAATTTTGGATTGTTATGAGATAATAGCATTCACAAATGATTGAATTTAAATTAGATAATTGTAATCCACAAATTATTGGATGGTGATGAGATGATTGTAACCCATAAATTATTGGATTGTAATGCAAATATTGTAATCCACAAATAATTGGATTGTAATGAGATGAATGTAATCCACATTTTGGTTTTGTCCTCGGGTACCGGTACACAAGAGCCGATACAAAAGACCAAAAAATACATAACAGCTAACCAATGACTCTAAACAAAGAAAATACAATGGTTATTCCTTTACGCACCGGTACAGCACCGGTGCACGAGGACAACTAGACAGTTCATCAGTTATCTGGAATGCGATGGATCGTTGTGGGACTATATATTAATACACATAAACATGCTAGATGTGACTTTATTTGTAGATTGGAATTTTTATTTTCAGTTCTCGAAATGACAATAATCTTAAATATAAAATAACTGTCATGATATTCATTGTAACTGATGGCGAGATGACTGTTAAGCCGCACATGCATGAATCACTATTGTGAATACTGGTACTTGTAGCCCGCAAATAAATGGCTCTCATTAATTTAAATGAGATGCACGATTACTGGTTTATAAAATATTGTGATGGTTTGCTTACCTATCGACCCGTGAATTTTTGAGAGGTAAATAAAGGCTTAGAAATATTTATAACTTATCGATCATATCCGATCATCAAATCATCAGACAAGTGCCTCGAACATTAAACAAAGTAGAATACCTTTTTTATTATTAGTGATACTCACCTTGAAAATGATCGATAAACCAAATTTACGACCAGAAAGGTGTCGGCTAATTGCACAGATAAAGCGTGTGAGCTTGCAAATAAAGGAATAATATATCTCTTCTGAATCGATCGATCCGAATTAGCGCGCCAGTGATACGTAGATTACACACGACATTTTAGCTACTCATTCACCCCTCCCCCAGGTCTAGATTTGTCAATAGGTCTATCCCGATTACAATGCATTAATTGACTGGTTACAACGTCATTACAAGTCCAGTAGTTACTGGGTTACAACATGAGGAACGGGTGAGCGGTTCAATTTAAAGCGTAGGGAGGAGGACTCAAGTGAGCCATTTTCCTGTTTCAGGTTCGTACCGTTTGGGTGGCCGTGAGATGCGACGATGGCGTGGAACCGGTTCGGGCGGCAGTGGGGGTGGCGTAGGGGGCATTGAGGAGTCTTCATCGGGACTTGTTGGTAGCTGGAGGTCCCGGGACTGTACGTCGAGGTTTGGACTGTCGACCTGTGTCGGTCTCGCTGGGGTGAGGGGCGACAGTGGTGCTGGGGCTTGGACCACGTTTGGGTTGTTGGGCGTTGCCGCCGTGGGCTGCGTGGACTGGGGAGTCTGTAGTGTTGGCACAGAGGGCGGGGGGTTTGGGCACTGGTCAGCACTGCTGGTAGGTAGTTGTGAAGCTGTTGGCTGCTGTGAACGTATAGAGGGCGTGGCTGGCGTGTAGGCTCGCAGGAAGCGGCAGTTGCGTAGTGTGATTCGCCCAGAGCCGTCCACCTTGACACGGTATTGGTCGTGGCCAGCTGATTCCACTACTACCCCTGAGCGGTCCCATTTGGTGGGGTTTGGGCCTTGTTGATTCTGCAGGAAGACTCTCTCACCAAGGGTCAGGGGGCGGAGGGGGCGGGAGCGGGCCTTCAGCGACTCGGTTGTACGGGTGATGCGTGTGCGAAGAGCTTCCTCCTTAGCTGCCCATGCTTGACGCCAAAGGGGTCTGATGTGTGGGTTCGAGAACTTCTCAAGGCGGTTGACGAACGAGAACGAGTCCCTTAGGGGGCGGCCAAATATGATTTGCGCGGGTGAGAGGTTGCAATCTGGGTCCGGAGTGTTGCGAAGTTGTAACATGGCACGTAAGAAGCGGTCATGGTCGAGGCTGCCCGTCGGGCCTGTATTAGACAGCAGGAGGCGCTTGGTTGTTTCCACGGCAACTTCTGCCCGGCCATTCGATTGAGGGAAGCTGACAGAGGACACGCGATGTCGTACACCCCAGAGGCGGAGGAAATCTTGTGTGCCCTTAGCGGTGAACTCTGGGCCACCGTCGCTTGAGATCTCCTCCGGGACGCCCAACGTAGCGAAGAAGGAACGGAGATGGCGAACTAGGCCGGCTGAGCCGGCAAGGTTGGTCCCAGCTGTTGGACTTAGGACTTCCACCCAGCCGGAAAGGCGGTCACCTACGACCAGGTAATGGCAGCCTCTGTAGTCGAAGAAGTCTGCGAAGACGACTTCAAATGGGGATAATGGTGGTGTAGATGGGAGAGGGGGGGTGGCAGCCTGTGAGGGTGCGTTTCGATTGCAGTCTGCACACCCCTACCTAGTTTCGCGGATGTCCTTTGATATCCCCGGCCAGTAGACGATGGCGCGGGCTCGCTGTTCCATTGAGGAGGTCCCTTGATGGGCCGCGTGGAGATTCTGTAAGACTCGGCGGCGTAGGGATGGGGGGACGACGACACGGTCCTGGTAGAGGAGTACGCCCTCTTCTGCGTAGAGAGACTCGCAGATGGGCCGAAGGCTTGTCAGGGTAGGGTCGTCGCTGGCAATCGGTTTTCCTTGCTCGACTGATCGTAGGAGAGGGCCCAAAGAGACATCTGCAGCTGTCTCTGTCGCGAGGAGAGACCAGGAGATGGCGTCTAGCTCCTGGGTGTCGTTGCGGATGGTGTTCATCAACGCTAACTCTGCGATGTCGGGGAAGCTGGGTGATCCAAGAGAGACAGTGTTCTCTGTAGAGGATTGGGAAGGGTGTCTTGAGGTAGCGTCGGCGGCGTGGTTACTCGTGCCAGGTAGATGTCTGATCTCGAAGCGCCACGGGAGAGTGCGCTGTTTGAGGCGAAACAGGCGCGAATTGGTGATCTCATCCAGAGCGCGGTCGCCGAAGATCTTGATAAGGGGTTTGTGATCGGTGACTATCACGAGGTTGTCGCAACCTTGTGTAAAGTAGCGCGTCTGCTCTAAGCCCCAGGCCACGGCGAGGGCTTCTCCTCCAATAGCTGCGTAGCGCTGTTCTGCAGAGTTCAAGAAGCCGGAACCGGCCACTGTGATTCTCCATCCCTCGGGGCAGCAGTCTGGAACACCGGAGGGGCAACTACAGTGTTGCTGAAGGAGAAAGTAACCGATACCACGCTTGGACCAGTCAGGGCGGAGGCAGGTGCGCCTCTGTATGTCGAAGATTTCCACCCCCTGGCGGATAGCTTCAATGATGGCTTCCTTGGACGCTTGAAATGTTGACTCGAGCTCGGTGGACCACGAGAATTTGCAGTGGGGGCTGAGAAACGGCTTGAAAGGGGCCGTGGAGTCGCGCAGCTGGGCGTAGTTGGAAACCTGGTTGACGAGGCCAAACCAACTCCTGATGTCGGTGGTGCTAGTAGGGGAGGGGAAGTCTTTTATGGCGTCTAAGTATTTAGGAAGGGGTTCAATAGTGCCATCAGATACTCTAAAGCCAGCGAAATCTACGCTTCTCTCAGCGAACTGGAACTTGTCAGGGTTGAGCACAATCCCCGCCTGGCCTACACGCGTAAGGAAGTCGATGGTCCTCCACCAGTGTTGTTCGAGGTCGGTGTCGTAATGGACTGTGTCGTCGACACAACGTTCCTTGCGCTCAAACTCGGCTAGGACGGCATCGAAGCGGCGATTATATCCGTCCCCTGATGACAGGAAGCCTTGAGGTGCCCTCTTGTAGCGTCAGCGGCCGAATGGCGTGATAAAGGTGGTCAGGTGGCGGTCAGAATCACGCAGAGGAACACTGTGATAGCCGTTCCAGGCATCGGTCACGGTCTTCCAAGTGTCCTTGGGAATGCGACGAGCAAGTTGGAAGGGTGACTCCATGGCAAAGGTCTCACGTTGGCAGAATTTGTTAAGTGGCGAGATATCGACTGTGCGGCGGGGGAGCCGTCGTGCTTTCGAGTGATGACCATCCTATGACACCACGTAACCGGTTCGCCGTATGGCACACGCTCGATGACGCCAAGAGCTTCGTCGCGTAGGAGGTCATCGTACACCCGTTGCTGCCAGTGGAGGGGTATGTTGGCCGGTGTGGCAGGCCTTAGGTGTGGCCGCTGGGTCAACATGTATCTCTATGGGTGGGCCCTCCATACATGGTAGCGCTCGATGAGAAGCCAAGCTTTCATTTTTGTGTTGTTCTCAGGCTTACAGGGGAATGGCAACTCGGAGGGACGTGGCGGTGCTGCTCCGCACTGTGGACATGAGCACGTAGCGTTGTGGGCGGCGTTGGTTACTGGACAGCCTTGGGCCCTGGACAGCCGTCGTTGAGGGCCCGTATAGCGTCGATGTCGGGTGATACGCGGGACGCGTGTGGCTGCGTGGCTGAGGTCTCTCTATCAGGTGGGGGACCAGTGGGGTTGCCGAGGCATGGGAAAGTGCGCGGTAGAAGTCCAAGGTTGAGTAGCGAGTCGTAAGACAGGTACATGTCCTTGACGGAGCTGCTCACGTAAACCATGGAGTGGCATGCCGTAATCTCGATCGGTTCGGTTTCTGTGGCATGCCGTAATCTCGCCGCTGCTGGACTGTGTAGCAAGTTTGGCAAAGAACGCTCCCTCTATCGATATGGGCGAGCGGTTGGCTGCTGAGAGGCTGAGGCTTATGGGGTGGAGGTCGTCACGAGAGAAACCACAGGCTATGAAGTCGGACAATGACCACAAGTCCGATTGGGCGCCAGTGTCAGCTATTGCAGATACTTCGGCATAGATGTCTGAGGGGGTGTTGTAGGCGCCATTACCGGTCCTGCCTGGCCGGGAGAGGGATATGGTGATTGGGAGCCTAGGGTGATCTCGTAAGCGAGTCCTTTTCCACTCCCCCTTAGAGAAGATGTGGTGATCTAGTCGCGCTGCTGATGGTGTGGTGATGGTGACATGTGTGGTCGTCTTCCGGTTGTGGCGACGTCTGCGGGGGGTTCGGGGCAATTGGTCACCCCTGGTCTGGAATGCTGCTATTTGTGAGATCGGTTCGGTTTCTGTGGCGTGGATCCCTGGGGTCTGGGGCGGGCGCTGCGGAGGCTGGCGTTGGTGACGTTTCTTACGGCGATTGGCCCTGTGGCATTCGATGCACATTTGGTGGGGTTCCTCGTTCCAACCTCGGGCCCCTTCCGTGAAGACCTTAAAGGCGATGTGACAGCCAGGGCATGTCGCTTCCTTTGCCCGATCCGCTTGAGAGAGAGTTGGGACGGGGTTTGGTGGCGATTTCCTTTTCTTCCTTCGCGAAGGAAGAGACAGCTGATAGTGAGGGGGAGGGGAGGGCATTACGGGCCATCTCTTTGGTTTCTACTAAGGCGAAAACCTCGTTTATCGGTGTCTCGAGTATGCCCGCTATGCCTAGCACTTCCCTCCTGATGTCAGTGTCGTAGAGGCCATTCAGGATGACGTCACGGATGACGTGGTCAGTGTAGTCGACCGAAGCGCCACAGTCACACGAAGCGGTATAGGAACAGGTTTCCGCCTTCCCCCGTACTTTAGCTGTAAAGGTGCGGAAAGGCTCGTCACGTTCTTGCCTTAGTTGGAGAAGCTCTGTACGTAGCACACAAGTGGCGACTGGGATTACCGCTAAGGAGCGCATGGCGGCCAGCAGTTGGGTCAGGGTCTCAGAAGCGGCGTTAGGATTGGCTTTGAGAAGGCTGTCCCCAAGTTCAGTTCCTGCACACTGGAACAGCTGGGAGGGCGCCGAGGCGTCGTCGATGCCTGAACCTGATTTGAAAACCTCCCAGCGTCTCGTGAAGACGTTCCTCCTCTATTGTAACTCCAACATCGACCTTGGGCCGCTCTAGTTTTGGGCCTCTGGGTGCTGTAGGTGCTGGGGCAGCGTCTGCGACGGTAGGCGCCAGGTTGCAGTGGGCCAGGTTGTGATTAGAGAGAAGGGCAATTGCCAGTGCTTCGGAGACATCGTCTCTTGTGAATGTGCAGTCGGGCACAGAGCATTCGACGACTACCATGACGGAGAGATCAACTGTTTCATGAAGCGAACTCCTCGGTTGATTATGCTTTAATTACAACGATGAAACAGTTCTACAGGGTGAAACAGTATAAATACGCTGAATGACAATAAAAATAAAGCTAAACGCAATAAAGAATAACGAACTTACGATAATAAGTACAATCAGATTAATCCGTCCATGCGAAACGAGTTCAAGTGTTTTACGATACCCAGCTATACACGGCTGTACAAAGCTATACACAGCTATACAAGGCTATACACAACTATACAGGGCTATACACAGCTATACAGGGCTATACACAGCTATAAACAGCTATACACAGCTATAAACAGCTATACAGTGTGATATACAGCTATACAGGGCTATGCACAGCTATACAGGGCCATACAAAGCTATACAGGGCTATACACAGCTATACAGGACGATACCCAGCTATACAGGGCTATACACAGCTATAAACAGCTATACAGAGCTATACACAACTATACAGGGCAATACACAGCTGTACAGGACTATACAGGGCTATACACAGCTATACACAGCTATACACAGCTATAAACAGCTATACAGTGTGATATACAGCTATACAGGGCTATGCACAGCTATACAGGGCCATACAAAGCTATACAGGGCTATACACAGCTATACAGGGCTATATACAGCTATACCGGGCTATACACAGCTATACAGGGCTATACACAGTTATACAGAGCTATACTAGGCTATACACAGCTATACAGAACTTTAAACAGCTATACAGGGCTATACACGGCTATATAGGACGATACCCAGCTATACAGGGCTATACAGAGCTATAAACAGCTATACAGAGCTATACACAACTATATAGCAATACACAGCTGTACAGGACTATACAGGGCTATACACAGCTATACACAGCTATAAA